GAAAGTCTAGTCATAATAAACCATTTATGACACTCTATTGTATTAGTTGTCCTTCTATACCTAAATATTGAAATTATATACTTATATTACATGAAGAAAAATTAATGAAAAATAAAAAGTAATATAATTAAAAGCTGCGACTTTGTGCTCCCTGTATGCTTCTGCCATCTGACGGTGGCAGGAAGTAACGATATAAACTCAAGTAATATTACTATATAATTTCAATATTCAGGTATAGAAGGACAATTAATACAATGGGGTGTCATAAATGGTTTATTATGACTAGATTTTCAGTCGACTCTATTGTTTTTATGTCTCCATTTTTCATTATTTTTCTTTTGGAATATTTAATATTTTAATTTAATATGCTAACACAAATTAAATGTTAGAATACAAAAAAAATTGCACCCTTCAAAATTGTTTTAAACAAATTATACAGGGTGATTTTTAATAATAATAATTTTTATTATAATTATTAAATAAATTTGCTTTTAATTATTGCGATTGAACCTTTTTTTTATTAAAAAGTTGTTTTTCAATAAATTTTCTTATTTTTTAAAAAAAATTTTTATGAACAAAAATATACAGTACGCTGTCATTTTGATCAGAAATTAATCGTATTTTTATAATTGATATTATATCTAAGCCGCTATTATGAAAAATATTTTTTTTAAATTATAAATAAATTTTATAAACAATTACAATTTACGGCTAATTTTGAGCAAAAAAATTTCTATTTTTTTTATAAATTTGCTTGGGATTTTTGCGCTTAAGTTTCCCTTTTTATTAAACATTTGTTTTGCGATAAATTTCTTTATATTTTTAAATAATTTATATAAATAAATACACTATATGGGAATTTTAGGTCAGAAATTAATTGAATTTTTAATCTGCTCTACTTTTACAAAAAATTTACATTTATTAAATTTAGAAATAATTTATGTTTAATGTAATTTATTAATTTTTAATATTAAAATTGCTGTTTCTAATATAATAATAGCTGCGACTTTGTGCTCCCTGATTGCTTCTGCCATCTGACGGTGGCAGGAAGTCACGATATAAACTCAAGTAATATTACTATATAATTTCAATATTTAGGTATAGAAGGACAAATAATACAATAGGGGGTCATAAATGGTTTATTATGACTAGACTTCCAGTCGACTAGACTTCCAAAAGTCTTTTTTATTATATATTTATTTATTTAAGGTCGAAATATATTTTAATGTAATATTTCAACACAAATTGTGTTCCCTGCATACTTCTGCCATCTGACGGTGGCAGGAAGTAACGATATAAACTCAAGTAATATTACTATATATATAATTTCAATATTCAGGTATAGAAGGACAATTAATACAATGGGGTGTCATAAATGGTTTATTATGACTAGACTTTCAGTAGACGTTATTGTAGATATTTCTCCTTATTTTTCTTTTAAAATATTTAATATTTTAACATAAATTAACTTTTGAACCACAATTATTATGAATCAAATTCGAAAATTCTTGTTTCCTCTAATTCTCAACTAAATTCTAAACAGATTAAAAATTCGATTAATTTCTGACCAAAAATTGCGGTAATTGTTTAAAAAAAGCAAATTTACTTAATAAAATTATTTTTATATGATCACAAACAGCCTTAACCTCTCGACAGTCGATGGCCCATAAATATGTCCAAAAAAAGTCGTGTCACCTTTGTGATCCCAGTAAAAAAAAGAATTGTGAGTAAGCTAAAAGAATTGGTGGTAATTCTTTTCGCTTACTCCCAATTATTTTTTTTACTGGGATTTTATGTCCACATTAGGAAAAAAAATACTAAATATAATTCGATTTGAGTGTCAATGGATATATTAAGGTTTTCGGAGTCGCTGAATCCGAATTTGAGGTCAAAATTAAAAAATTCAAAATGGCGTCCAAATATTAAAAAATTGACTAGCTTTGCACAAAAATGGTTCCTTTACGGTTTTTGGGGTTGTTAAATCCAAATTTGAGGACAGATTTAAAAAATTAAAAATGGCGGATCCAATATGGCGAAAAAATTTAAAATTGACTCGATTCGTTCAAAATTTAGTTTTCGGGGGTTTTTGGGGTCGCTGAATTCCAATTTGACCTCAAATTTGGATTCAGCGACCCTGGAAACCCCCAAGTACCAAATTTTGAACGAATCGAATCAATTTTAAATTTTTTCGCCATATTGGGTGGCCATATTAGGTCCGCCATTTAAATTTTTTAAATATGACCTCAAATTTGGATTCAGCGACCCCAAAAACCTCCGAGTACCAAATTTTGAATGAATCGAATCAACTTTAAATTTTTTCCGCCATATTGGGTCCGCCATTTTGAATTTTTTAAATCTGACCTTAAATTTGGATTCAGCGACCCCAAAAACTTTTAATAGGATGATATGATATTTTTTTGGAAACAATTGTTATGTAATTGTTTATAACAATTTTTAAGTGTAAAAACTTTTTTTCATACTTATTTTAATCTAAAATATTATTATTCAAATGGAAAAATAATAATAACACATTAAGATGGTTTAATTCAATTCAGGTACAGAAGGACAACTTATACAATAGGGTGTCATAAATGGTTTATTATGACTAGACTTCCAGTCGACTCTATTGTTTTTATGTCCCCTTCTTTCCTTATTTTTCTTTTGGAATATTTAATATTTTAATTTAATATTTAAACACACTTTTTAGTTTTAGACCACAAAAAAAAATTTTTACATTTTAAAATTGTTATAAATAAATAATATAACATTTGCAGTTTAAGGCTGTCTGTATACAAAATTTTTTCTTTATTAAATTTGCTTTTGATGTTTGTAATTGAACTTTTTTTTTATTAGAAAGTTGTATTTCGATAAATTTTCTTATTTTTTAAAACAAATTTTATAAATAATTATACTTTAACAGGGTGTCTAACAAAGATTGAGAAAAAAATTCCCTGACTCCTCCCTGACTTTTTTTGATTTTTCCCTGACTTTTTAATAACCTTATTTCTGCTTTTTTTTTAGACAAAAATATGATTACTGACATATTTAACAATAAATTAATTTTTAATGGTAGTGACAAATGGTAATAAAAACCATTCAAGTTTTTTTAGATTTAAAAATTTTTAAATTCTTAAAAAATTTTAATTTTTCTAGAAATTTACAGAAATTTCCCTGACTTTGAATGAAATTTTCTGAAATTCCCTGACTTTTCCCTGACCGTTAGACACCCTGTTTAAGCCTATTTGTGGGCAAGAAAATTTGTTTTTAACAAAAAACAACTGTTTAATAAAAAAATATTCAATCCCAATAATCAAAAGCAAATTTACTTCAAAAATTTTTTTTATTTGACCACAAACAACCAAAAATGAATTGGCATTTAAAAATTTCTTTTAATTATGGTTCTAAGATGAATAAAAAACTTTTCTCAATAGGTTTTAAAATCAGCTTACGTGCCCAATTTAAAACAAATTGAGTTTTAAATATATTTTATTTTCTTGTTTCGTTTTTATATTTATGCATTAAGAGTGTCGAACGGTATCCGAAATTCTTTGGCAAGAAGAGAGCTTTAATTATTATCGCTCTGAACGTGAAATAGTATTGATTTTAAAATACTTTTTTCTCGAAACACGAACACTTTTAACAAAATCAGCCAAAATCCTCATCTTATAAATTTCCTAAATCCAAAAGATTGTACGAATCCATAGAAAAACATGGTTGCAAAACAAAAAGTAGAAAAGTAATCTAATAACAGCTGCGACTTTGTGCGCCCTGCATTTTGCTGCCATCTGACGGCGGCAGGAGGTAATGTACCTGTCATTATATTACTTTTCGTTTTGCAATCGTGTTTTTGTATGGATTCGTATAATCTTTAGGATTTAGGAAATTTATATAAGAAAACGATCTCTAGCTGCTTTTGTAAAAAGTGTCCGTCTTTCGAGAAGAAAGTATTTTAAAATCAATGTTTATCATTTTCACGTTTAGTGCCGTTTTTATAGAGCGCTAATTAAAGGTCTCTTCTCGCCAAAAAGTTTCAGAGATCATTCGATTCTCTTAAATAAATTTTGTCACTCTTAAAATCGTTCTTTTAACATTATAATTTAATTTTTTAAAATCGGACACAAACACTACATCAATATAATTATTTATATGTAAAATTGATAATAAGTAATTATTTTATCATTTATTACAGTATTTAGTAGATTAAATAAATTCTGATTCCCCATAAAACACTGTTTTTATATAAAAACTCAATTTTATTTAAATCGGGCACGTAAACTGATTTTAAAAACTATTGAGAAATGTTTTTTATTCATCTAAGAATCATAATCAAAAAAAATTTTTAAGTGCCAATTCATTTTTATTTAAACCACCTTCTGGCGCACCGTGGCATACGATTATTTTTTTAAATTTTTTTCTTTGATAATGTATTTGGCAACACTGAGTAGATTTTGAAAATTTTTTATAGTGGGCCTAATGAAACCATTTGTTTAAATAATTGTCTTAAATAAAATTTTTTTATTCCTTTATTTTTCTAAATTTTCTAAACAAAAAGGTTTTTTGTTTGTTAAAATGATTTACTTTACTCACGGAAAAGTAATTTGCCATAAATTTTTACTGGAATTTCGGTGCGTAAAGTAAATTTCAATGCGTAAAGTGAATCACTTTAAACACCGTTTTAAAAAGAGCTTCTTTACACACACTTTTCGGTGTGTAAAATTTAACTTTAGAGGTTAGTGTTGCAAAAAAATGAATTTCTTTTTAAAAAATTGCTATTTGTTTTAACAAAAATTTTTAAAAAAAAATTTTTTTTGTTAACATTATTAACTTTTCATTTTTTGGCAAAAATTTGCTAAATTCAATACATTCAGAGTATTATGCCTTTGTCCTCTATACAAAAGATGGCGCTGGCATCTCAAATTTTGCCTTGTCATCTCTGAAACTGGAAATTAATTTTGATATTGTTTTTAGAAAACTTTCCAAAATAAAAAAGAAATGGACAATTTAAAATTTTTGTTGCTGTTCTTGACAACCGTCTTAATGATTATGACATCAGTTATTAATGCTTGTGACCCTGACGGAACTGCATGTCAAACTGATGTTCCAACAAATTGTTGTTCAGGATTTTGTTATAAACCAATAGGATGGGCTCTAGGAAATTGTAGAGCTCGTTGTGAACCAGATAGAACTCCATGTCAACCTGATGATACTACAAATTGTTGTACAGGATTTTGTTACAAACCAGAAGGAGCAACTATAGGATATTGTAGATCTCGAATCCCACCTTGTGCACCAGATGGTACTCCATGTCAACCAGATGGAAGTACAAATTGTTGTTCAGAATTTTGTTATAAACAAGTAGGATGGGAAATAGGATATTGCAGATACCGTTAAAGAAACAACAGAATGTTGATACAATTTTTCACGAAGTAGTATAAGAAGACCCCACTGCTATATTAAGCCCACGAAAAGTTGAAGCTATGATTTCTCCGTTTCTCTTACAATTAACGGAGGTGTCGAACTTATCGGAAAAGTTGGTAACTAGTTATCCACACTGACACAAAATGTGTACATACAGTTACTAACGCATAGAACTTTCGCAAAATGTCTACCGTGACATAACCTGCATAAACTGATTGTTTTTATATCGCTTTGTTTTTTTTCCGGTTTTTGTAAATAATTTAAAGAAAAATAAGGAAATATGATTAGTTGTTCTATTAAAGGATGTAAAACAAATTGTGTTAAAGGCAATACAAAATATAAATCTATTTACAAAACTATTTTCAATGAAATCCAAATAATAATGATGAGTTTCATTTTAAATATGAATCTTATTAAAGTATATTTTTATCACAACGATAATTAAAATAAAATTTAAACAGTTTAATAATGTCACTTTTAGCAGACGAAATTTCGGAGATATCAAATTTTCCCGTTAGGGTTCGACACCTCCATTAATTGTAAGAGAAACGGGAAAAACGGCTTCAGTTTTCCCAGACAGTGGTGTCTCCTAATACTGCTTCGTACAATTTTTAAATGTATAAATAATTTTTTGTTTCAAAAATTCAATTAATCTTCAAACAAATGATAAATTATGCAATGTAAATTTAAATTTAAGTGAAAATAAATACTTTCTTAAAACTACTTTTTAGATGATTCTGTCATGACTTATGCTGATAACTGCAAAAAAAGAGGTCTCTTTGATGAGGAGAAAGTTGAAATAAAATATTTCATTTCATCTTTTAGAATCTCTTAGAATTAAAAAAATATTTAAATCACCCCGGTTATCTGCGTACATACGTTGATAAAAGTTATAAATATCAAGAAGAAATTTTTTTAAAAAATTTGTTTTTACATTTTTTGAAAGTTCTTAAGATTTTATTCAGTGATTTAAAATCGCGATTCAATTTAGGCAAAACTTTAGAAGATATGACAATGTCAATTCGGTCTGATCCCCCCTGGATATGGGTACTCAGTGCGGCGAAGATTAAATATTTACAGAAGCTTTATTTAACTTTTATTCTAAATACTGCGAACATTGAAAATAAAGCTTTAATAAAATTTTTATTATAAATCTTCGGTGCTGTGTAGATGAACTGTCCTGCTTTTTTGGTCATGTCTTTCGATTGTTTTCATACTTTGTGAACATATTCCTCTATATGATAGTATAGTATATAGTATTCATAGGGGTCAAATTAAAGCTTTTTGAAACTTTTTGAAAATTTCTACCTGGTAAATTCGAAGTGCTAGATACTTGTCATAGGGGTCAAATTAAAGCTTGATATATGTACTTTACGAAGGTGTAGCGATGTTGGCAACAACACAAACTAAATTAGCAGTGAAACACGATTTTTTTGACACTTGTCAAACATAAAAATTGGCTTACACTGTTTGTAAATAGATCTTTCTATTTTAAAAAATGATTGGAATCGCTTAAAACTTGTTACACGGGAATTTTTGGGGTCGCTGATTACGAATATGAAATCAAATTAAAAAAAAATTCAAAATGGCGAATCCAATATGACGGACAACCAATTTTGAAAAAAGTTGCCCGCTATTTTAAATTTTTTAAATTTAATTTTATATTCGTAATCAGCGATCCCACAAACCCCTGAGTAACAAAAAACAATAACAAATGATTAATACCAGAAAAAAATCGTCAATAATTAAGAAACAAAATATAAAATAATGTTAAAAGATAAAATGCTTTTCAGCGGCCATTGAGGTCTTTTCTATTCATAACCGAGATTATCATACGAAAAAATCTAGAACTTTTACCCCAAAATCGGTATGAAAATTAACTGTAACAATTTTATCCTAGTTGAGAGCGTCAACACTTAATTAATATTATATGTGAATTAGCAATGTTTAAAATTATCCGCAACAAAATTTATTTAGAATTTTTTTTCTGTGTATGAAGGTCTATAGATGTGCCGCCAGTTATCCTGAAATGTAATGTATACTTGAGGATAATATTCGCAATATTAATAATTCAAGTGTGCCACAAATTATTTCCACTTAAATTATTTTTAAAAGACTTTTTACAAGTTATATTATGTATTAGATATAGTTTATTTGTTTAGTATAATTAAAGAGGAAAAATTCATCCGCCTTTTAAATGCACTGTATAAAAATTTTTTATATAAATAGCCCATGGATTTTTGAAATTTCATAACATTCATAATTGAACTTTCTTGACTTATACTAACAAACTGTGAGTATAAAAATCTGTATTCCAAATATATTAATGTCATTTTTATGTTATTGTTTAATAAATAATGATGATCGTTATAAATTTTGCAAGTTATTATTGGACAAATATTTCCTCTTAATAAGATTTATTTTAATTTATTTTTATAACGACGTTTCGACAGCTGCCACTACTTTTATAAGGTTACATTAAAATATTACTGAATAAATTAACAATATGATAATAAATAATAATATTTGTGAATAAGTATTTTCTAACATCAAAATCAATTCATTTAAATATTGTATTTACGTTTCAGTTTTAGTTTATTGATTTTTTATTATAAAAAATTTTGAATTTTTGATGTTAAAAAAGTTACTTTTAACTGTTATTTTTTTTGTAATAAGAAAAGAAAACTTTTGCTTTTTTGTTGTTGTTTCTTTTTTTTTATTTTTATGTTAGAAAATACTTATTCACAAATATTACGTTTATTGATTATCATACTCTCTAAATCTGAATTAGTGAAAATGTTTACTAATTTGAATTAGTGACTCACTTTTTGCTTCTGAATTAGTTAAATTTTACTAATTGTTAGTAAAATTTTACTAATTCAGAAGCAAAAAGTGAGTCACTAATTCAAATTAGTAAACAATTTTTACTAATTCAGATTTAGAGAGTATTGTTAATTTTTTCAGTAATATTTTAATGTAACTAAAGGTAACGGCAACTGTCGAAACGTCGTTATAAAATAAATTAAAATAAATCTTATTAAGAGGAAATATTTAACCTAATAACTTGCAAAATTTATAAAATTTAATTCCTCAAATATATATCAATACTACAATTAATAATTCGTGATTTTTAAAAAAGTATTTAATCAAATTGTTATTAGTTTTAGTTTATAAGTAGTTTACTTATTTATTTTATTAGCTATAGTTCGTTAAAGTTTTCAATTATTGTTATTTGTATGGTAATGAAAAATTAAAATACAATGCAATTTTGATACTAACATTACAGAATAAAGATCAAATAAAAAATGGCAAGTTTCAAATTGTTATTTGTACTTTTGGCAACCATTTTAATGTTCATGGCTCCTGTTATCAATGCCAAATGTAAAGGAAATGGAACTCCATGCCAACCTAATGGAAAGACAAATTGTTGTACAGGATATTGTTATAAACAAGTAGGATGGAAAAAAGGTCATTGCGCCAATCGTCGTTAAGTAGAATTATATATTACATTTTTAACTTGTAAAGTTAGCTATAATGTATATTCTAAATGCAATGTAAATTAAAAAATAAATCAAAATAAATACTTTTTTATAAACTTAAAATCATGTAGTTTTTTAAACATTTGTCGCTCCTACTTAAATAATCATATTCTGTTCATATATATTGTTCATAAGTGCTTGGATAGAAAAAGTTTGCTGTGACAGCGAACTATTTACTGTTACAGCAAAATACGTTAGCTAATATAGGGACAGCGAACAAATTTTCCTGTAGGGTGAAAAAAGTTTTCTGTGACAGTAAATTTTTGAAAAATTAAGACTCATATTGTTTATCACAGCAAATTTTTTCGTTGTCATTGCAAAAAATTAATTTTGCGGTTACTAATTATTATTCGTTTCCTTTTTAAGTATTTTTCAAAAAAAAATAATTTTTTGCTTTCTAAAAATATTTGTGTGCGTAAATCCGAACATATTATCAAATTCTTGAGAAATTATTTTTTTCTTAGAACATAAATTTTATAATCCTTAAAACGTATGCTAAATTTTTCGAAAATGGAAAATAAAGTAGTCAACTAATTTATTATAATCAATTAAGTTTCAGGGGATTTCCGAAGAGATGTGAAAATAATTTTAAAAAATTGGTATGTACTTGTATCTCGGTGCTTTCCCGTTGTAAGTCACAATTTAAATCAAGTGATAAGAGATTTAATTAATTTGTTTCCTCAATATATGTATTGAAAAAAAAACAAAGAATATTATTTACTTTGTAATAATTTTGTAAACTATCCAATGTTTGTACATTGATAAAAATTTGTTGAATGCATTGTGAATAAGAATGTTTTGTTAAAATAAATATACACGGATGGAAATAGTATAAAATATCGGAATTTGTATATCGAATTATAGTTGATCGTGGTCTTTTTCACTGTTGCGATATGAGACAGAAGGTAATTAAAATATTTAATTTTTTTGATGAGGCTCATTTTAATTGGTATAAAAATTTTATAACCGGAAGTTAAACATTTTGTAACAACTTTTGATTGGAAAGCTATTTCTTTTCTAACAAGAAAATTTTTTACATAACTTTTTCTTACTTATTTTTTTGAGCTCTTTTGAGGTGGTGTTAATTTCAATAAAAAACAATTTTTTCCACATCAGAAATCTTATAAAATTTTGCAATTATTATTGTTCGTGGTAATAATACTGATACATTAACTTTACAGAAAATCTAAATAAAAAATGACAAATTACAAATACGTAATTATTGCTTTGGCAACAATTTTAATGTTCATTATTCATACTATCAATGCTGGATGTAAAGGAAATGGACTTCCATGCCAACCTAAAAGAAGGGCAGAATGTTGTACAGGATATTGTTTAAAACAAATAGGATGGAAAATAGGTCACTGCGCCAAACGCTCTTAATAAAAAAAAAATTGTACAATGTAAATAGAAAAATAAATTAAAAATAATACTTTTTTTACATACTTAAGATCATGCGTTTTTAAACATTTTAAGTTCCTAATGAAATAATTCGATTAATATTTTTTTTTTCACAACATATCCCCATCACAAAAGCAATAACACAGGCCAACAAAATTAGCAAACTTTTTTGATGCGGCAAATATCAGACCTGTTTCTGATAGGTTTTTTCATGCCAAACACGAATCCGTAAACAAAAATTTCCTATCAGCTCTAGTTTTTAAGAAAAACTTTGAGTATCTCTAACACTGAAACAAAAGGTCGTAGAACCTTCCACTTGGGCTTAATTTGAAGCTTAATTTTTTAAACTATTATTCCCAAAAATGACCTATCTTGCACCATAACCGCAAAGTCATTTGTTATCCATTTTTGATTCCCAAATATTAATTTTGTAAAAGTTTGAGCGCGTACATCTATTCTTTGAGGTGCAGCAATGTAATTTTTATGAACTACAGTCAAGGGATAAATTGAATTGAAGCTCAACAAGAAGGTTCACTCACTTTTGGTTTTATTGACTAGAGTTATTCAAATATTACCAAATAAGTTCTGCAGTTAAATACTGGTTACCAACAATTTTGAGGTTATTAGTGAATAATATAATTTTTAGGGCTTGTAGTCTAAAGTTCAAACTTTATTTTAAGTTCAAATAAAAGGTTCTATGATCAAAAATCGCTCAAAAATAAGTAAAGTTTCACTTATTTTTAAGTGCATATATACACTAATTTTTCTACGTGCACGGAAAAAATGAATTCAGTAGATTTTACAGAACTATCACGGAGTAGCGGATACAGCTCTTTACGAAACTGAGTGTTGTAAAATGTCACCAAATATTCAGGATAAACTCCAGAAATATTCAGCATAAACAACGAAAGTTCTGTAGTTTATCCGAAAATATCCATCACATTTTACAAAACTCAGTTTCGTAAAGAGCTGTATCCGCTACTCCGTCACAGTTTTGTAAAATATACTGAATTAATTTTTTCCGTGTGGAAGACTTTTGAAACATTCTAAGTGAAATTTCACTTATTCCGATTTAGAGAGTGCGTTAACAGATTTTGAACTAGACTTAAATCCATTAACACCGGCGGAATGTACAAAATTTTTACACGAACTTTGAGGCCATTTTTCAACATTTAAAGGGGACGATAATAATTTCGCAATAGACATTTCTTATGTCTCAAGAATCGTCCTATCGAATGGCATGCTCAAAAAAAACCAAAAATTTTTAAATAAAAAATTTATGCACTTTTAAAAAAAAAAAAACAAGGTTTTTCTTCAATTTTTTGTTTGGATTTTTTAATTTTTTTTAAAGCTTATCCCATCAGAATACCTCTAAATGTTAAAGATATCACGTCAATAATGTTTGGGCAACAAGATAGGACTATTAAGAAAATTAAATTTCAAAATGGCTGCTACAAAATGGCGAAATTTTCAAAAGTTATTAATTTCGTTTGAATCATGTTACTCGGAGGTTTTTATGATTGCTGATTACGAATCTGATGTTAGATTTTCAAAATGGCGGATCTAATATGGAGGTCAAATTTTTAAACAATTATTAAATTTTTATGAAACTTGATATCTAGAGGTTCATTACGAATCCCTTGTCAGTTTTTCAAAATTCAAAATGGCGGATCCAATTTGGCTAACGACATTTTGAAACTCAAACACAATTCGCTTGAAACTTGTTACGCGGGGAGTTTCGGAGTCACTGATTACGAATCTTAACTTACTTTTCAAAAAATTCAAAATGTCGAAACCAGTATGACGGAATGAAAAATTTAAATCTTCTAATTAGTCTGAAAATTGTTATACTCGGTGGTTTTCATATTCGTTTGTTTTAAATGTGAAGTCAGTTTTTCAAAATTCAAGTAAGATATGTTTATAGTAATTTTAATAATACGTTATTTAGCCATTAAAATTGTTGAATTTTTTTAATATTGCCCAACTCTTGTGGGGCATTATTATTATTTTCCCTTATAAGATTGTTTTGATACTTTTTTAAAGTGAACAATTAAATCAGGACTTGTGAAATAATTAAGAAAATAAAAATGAAAAATGGCCTCAAAGTTTGTGTAATAATTTTCTAAATTCCGGTGTTAATGGGTTAAATAAATTTTGGATTTTTGAAAAAATTTCGATTTTTAAAATTTTTCGAAATATTTATTCGGAAATACTAGCAATTTAAAATATTTTTGTTTATAAAACATTTATTTTAAATCAAAATTAAGTAGTTGAATTATGAAAAACTTTTTCAAATCACATAAAAGAATTAGGTACAAAAAAATATACCTGTTATTTTTTCCAATTTTGCCATAATTCTCCGGTTTGACAAAAAAAAAAAATTCTTTTCAAAATTAAGAATACAAATTGACGTTTATTTTATTACAACTACACAGTTTGCTAATGTTTCAGCTTCACAACTAAATTTTTCCATTTATGATGTGCAATATAGCTGTAATGACAAGTTTCAGGAAATTCCCGATGATGCGTGAATCTCTAGTTTGCATTTTTCAAATTATAAAATTTGTTTTTGGATACTAATTTTCCTATTAGATTTTCCTTTGATTGAAAGTGTAAAATAAAAAAAATTTAATTACAATTTCATCAAATTTGTAATAGTTTCTTGGAAATTCCCGCCGAAAGTCATGATTAAGAAAAAGTGATAAGAGAATTAATTAATTTCTTTCCTCAATATACAATGTTTCTACATTGATGAAAATTCGTAGAATGCAAAAATAAATGTTGAAATATAAACAAATAGTACTATATTGTGAACATGTTGCAAATGGTATATAAAATGTAGGAATTTGTAAATCGAATCACAGTTGATCCAAGTCTTCAATCGTCTTTGCAATATAGAACAGAAGGTAATTAAAATATTCTACTTTTTTTTAAATAAGATCACATTAATTGGTTAAAATTATAAAACTGGAAGTTACACAATAGCTGTTGGGTATTCACTCTTTAAATTTTTTGATTTCACTGTTGAAATAGTTGGAATTTAGCAACTGAATCACTTCAGTAATATTTTTACTGAAAATAATAATAATATTTTACTAAAAAAATTTAGTAAAATATTTCACTAAAAATCATTTCTAATTATAACTTATTTAAACAGTCAAATCTACATTATCATTAATCGATAAAATAGATTTGGTAATGATTACAATCAATAATGAATTTTACTAATTTTCAGAAATAATTATTATAATCCTCCACAGCTCCTAAAATTTCAACAATATTGCCAATATTGCCTCAATATTGCAATTATTTTTGCAATATTAGAATATTGAGGCAATGTTGCAAATATTGCTGCAAGTTTAGGTTTTGTGTTGGATTGAATTTCCTAAAAATTTTCCAATTGTTATAATTGTTTGTGGTATTTTTATTAGAAAAAATTTATTATAATATGTAATAAATGCATACATTAATATTACAGAAAATCCAAATAAAAAATGGCAGTTTACAAATTCTTACTTGCACTTTTGGCAACAATTCTAATATTCATGGCTCCTGTTATCAATGCCAAATGTAAAGGAAATGGAACTCCATGCCAACCTAATGGAAAGACAAATTGTTGTACAGGATTTTGTTATAAACAAGTAGGATGGAAAAAAGGTCATTGCGCCAATCGTTAAGTTACATAATTTCAACTTATAAAATTATCCACTCTTGAATTTGGATTTCATTATATTATAATTATATGTATATATATATAGCTATAAACAATCTTGATTTTTGATCAAGAATATAGTGTGCAATGTAAATTGAAAAAAAAAATCAATTATTTTAATGCTCCAAAAGTACTAATATATTTCCATTTTTACCCTCACTTTGTCTTGACATTAAATTTGTAATCATTCCTGAAAAAGCCTGAATACACAACGAATTTTCAAGCGAATTCGATCAATTTTTTAAAAATCTTCTGACAATTTGAATTTCTGGCATGAGTATATCAAAGTTTGTAAAATAGTATACAGAAAATTACACTAGATTACAAAAAAATGGTGATGTCGTGTTTATTTAAAATTTCTATGTTAAAATCCTTATCTTATAAATTTTTTAAATCCAAAAGACTGTATGAATCTAGAGAATAACGCGATTGCAAAACGAAAAGTAGAAAAGTAATCAAATAACAGCTACGACTTTGTCCTCCCTACATGCTTCTGACATCTGGCGGCGGCAGGAGGTAATGACCCTGTCATTATATTATTTTCGTATGGATTCGCACAATCCTTCGAATTTAGAACATTTATTTATTTAATAATTAATTATTATTATTATTTTTTTTTATTTATTTAATTTAACATCTTTGGCTGCTTTTGTAAAAAGTGCCCGTCCTTCGAGAAAAATGTATTTTAAAATCAGGGCGGTATAGATTCTACACAAATAAACCCTACACGAAAAAATTGCGCACCGATAATTTTACAAAAAAAAAATCCTACACTTGGACAATAAGCAAAATAAAATTAATTAACAATTTTTTACTTTACATAATTAAATCAAACATAATTTTATTCTACACATTTAATTAACCCTACACCGTTAACTCTGAAAAAAAAAATTCTACACAATAATATGCGGAATAAAATTTAAAAACAAATAATAAAAATTCTAAACGATTAAATACTACAAAATATAACCGTACAAATTAAATTGCACTCAGGAAAACCCTACACGATTGTTAATTAATTGTTAATTAATTTTATTTTGCTTATTGTCCAAGTGTAGGATTTTTTTTTGTAAAATTATCGGTGCGCAATTTTTTCGTGTAGGGTTTCTTTGTGTAGAATCTATACCGCTCCTTAATCATTTTCACGTTCAGTGCCGTTTTTATAGGGCGATAATTAAAGGTCACTTCTGTCAAAAAATTTCAGAGACCATTCGACTCTCTTAAATAAATTTTGTTCACCGAAAAAAATAAAATCTTAAAATGAGAAGAAAATTCCTCTCAACATTTACTTTTACATTTTATTTTCAATATATGAATATTCATCTAAAAAATAGAGGATTCTTTTTTTTTTATTTAAGAACATTTTGGTTAGATGATTACTTTTAATCTTTCTTTTTCGATTGAAAGTATTCTTTTTCAATTGAGATTTTTTTTTTAATTACATATAATAATCGTGAATATCTTTCGTTCATTCTGTCCACACCTGCAGTTAGTATTTGTTATAGGTCTTTTGTTTTTTTTTAATGTGTTTTTTGACATTATTTTATGTTGGTTAAAATTTTTCAATGTTTTGACATTGTCATTTGTGCGGTCGTATTTTAATTATTAAAAATTATAAAATTGTTAGAATCGTGCAAAAGAATTGTGAGGATTGTGAGAAAAATTGATTCGATTGCTGTTAGAGTAAGCTGCATAAGTTGATAATTTTATCAAATTTCAAAAATTTATTTAATTAAATCACGATAATTTAATTAATTTTAAAAGTAATAAAAAAAAATTTATATTATTTATTTATATTATATTTATTATTTATATTATATATTACAAATTAAATTTTTTTTTTCACAAAATATTTACATAGTTATTTTTGTTATTATAATTAAAAAAATTAATATTATATATACATATACATTTTTAATTTTGACTAAATATTAAATTTTTTTAATAATTTTTATTTTTAAATATTAACTTAATATAAAATTTTTTTAAATAATTTTTATTTAAAATAAAATTTAAATTATTATATTTTATATATATTTATATATGTTACATTAATTAATTAATTAGGAATAATATTAAATTTAAATAATTTATAAATAATTTATTTATTAATTTAAATTTATTAATAATAATAATTATTATTTATTATTATATAACAATAAAAAATAAAAAATTTCATTTAATAACAAATATTTTTTGGTTATAATTTTTTTTGCAAAATATTTTTTTTTATTATAGGCAATTGAAAATTTATATATTTCATATAATAGATTAATAATAATAATTATTATTTATTATTATATAATAAAAAATAAAAAATTTTATTTAATGATAAATATTTTGATGATAAGAAATTTTTACAAGACCTTTACCGATATATGTTATATTAAAAATTATCAATTTAAATTTTAAATCGAAAATTTTCTTGAAGAATTTCTGAAAAATTATCGACAGATAATCAAAAAAAATCAATAAATATTTTTTTTTATTTGATAAAAATTAAGGAATTATTTTTAACAACCCGAGGCGAAATTTAAGCCCTAATTTACAAGGAGTAAAGTAGAGTTAAACAGACCCTCTTTAGCTTCCTCAACTAGTCGCAAATTTCCCTTTCTTCCACGTTTGGATTTAAAGTAGGGTCTAAAAATTGATTAAAATATTGAAAATTTTGAAATTGCTCTAATTCTATTAATTTTTTGAAAACGCTTCAAAATATGTTAATTCCAGTTTTTAAAGGGTAATTAAAGAAATATTGTGTGAAGAAAAAATTCATTTTGCTTTAATCAAAATAATTAAAAGAGTTTTTTTTTGCATTTTTTTGTACTTTTTTAATCGAACTAGACCCTCTTTAACTTCCTCAACCAGTCGCAAATTTACCTTTCTTCCACGTTTGGATTCAAAGAAGGGCCTACGGGAGTCTACAAGATCGTAAAGAGGGCCTATTTAGGTTCTAAGGGAAGCTAAAGAGGATTCAAATTTCGCCTCGGGAATGTAATAATATTATAATAAATTAAAAATATTATTGATAATATTAATTTTAATTTCTTTATAATAATCAATGACATCCCTAATTTTGCGCGCTTGCGCGCGTTTAATTTTGCTAGTTGAGATTATTCCTCTAGAAATATAGTTTTTTGTTTTTTTACGCACACCTTCAAACTGTTCGAAAACTGACAGTTAAAAAATAAATAATGGACATCCCACTAAGAAACCTTCTATGTAAAGTGGGACTAACAAATTACATCTGTAATTTTGAAAATAATATTAATTACTTATAATCAATAATGTTATTATAATAAATTACGAAGCTGAAGTACGCAACGTTTATGATAAACGATTTTTTAAGAAATAATTTTTTAAAATAAAAATTCTATAATTTTTTGCCTAAAAAATATTTTTTTTATAATTTGCTGATTAATGAAAACTACAAGAAATATTTTTTAGGCAAAAAATTAAAGAATTTTTCATTTTAAAAAATTTTTTCTTCAAAAATCGTTTATCATAAACGTTGCGTACTACAGCTTCGTAATAAATTAATGTCAATGTGTGTTTAACCCCTATTCTTTCTATGATTAGAATTTTGTAATATTCCATTTAGAATTAAATTTTTTCAGCATCATAATCTATAAATATTATTTTTTGGAAGGAAGTAAATAAAAATTATTATGTAAATAATTCATAAACTTTTTCACTTGAATAATATTCATTTTATTTTAAAATTAACCTAAGTTAAAAGTATTTTTCATAAACTAAAAAATTTTAGTATTTTTATTAAATAGAAAATCGTGTTTTTGCCATGTTTCGTTTTCTAAAATGATTTCTTTCCTATATAAATAAATAAATCCAAGTTTTAAAGCGTGAACAAACCCATATAATTTCTTCTAATTAAATAAAGAAGATTGGCATTTCTGAACTTAACGTAGGATGAATATCTCTTTATTTGAGATTATTCCTTAACAAGATGAATATCTCTGTATTTGAGATTATTCCTCTCAAAATATAGAAGAGGAAAATCCTCTCAATTAGATATGAATACTTTAGTGCCCATATATAAGAGGAAAAAATGCGTCAAAAGAAGAGGAATCCTCTAAAATTAAGAACTTATTTTTTTCGGTGTTCCTCTTAAAATCGTTCATTTAACATTTAAATTTAATTTTTTGAAATTGAACACAAACGCTACAGTAATATAATTATTTATAAGTAAAACTGAAAATAAATAATTATTTTATCATTTATTACAGTATTTATAAAGTAAATAAATTCAGATTCCCAATGAAACACTGGTTTTATATATATATTTCTTTTAAAGGCGGATCTAAACTGATTTTAAAACCTAATATTGAGAAATGTTTTTTATTCATCTAATAACTATAATCAGAAAATTTTTAAGTGCCAACTTATTTTTATTTAAACCTCTTTTTGGTGCACCGTGTCCTACTCTCTAAATCTGAATTAGTAAAAATGTTTACTAATTTGAATTAGTGACTCACTTTTTGCTTTATAGAATTAGTTAAATTTTACTAATTGTTAGTAAAAATTACTGATAATGAGTAAAATTTTACTAATTCAGAAGCAAAAAGTGAGTCACTAATTCAAATTAGTAAACACTTTTACTAATTCAGATTTAGAGAGTAGCTATTTTAACTGTTTGATATAGCGATTACATGATAAATAAGTCTCAGCGTAAATCTCATTCATTTTTCAGTTTTGGGACTTAAAGTTGAAGGTTTAAGGGAGGAAACCACTTTACGGGGTTCAAAAAATCGAATTCTTTTTTTTTTTGCATAAATAGTCAGCTTATGTATTCAAAAGTATGTTGAAAAAGTTTTTACAGCGAAATTCGGTGTCCTCTCTGTGCTACAGGCAATGAATGAAGCTTGCCGCGAGTAGCGAAGCAGGTTAACAAAAAAAAAAAAAATATATATTTAAAGTTATTTTTCTCGAAAAGAACAATGGCGATTTTTTAAATCTTTTTTGTTCAAAAATACTCTAGGAACCTCAAAGATTCAAAATCCTCAATAAAATTTTAAAGTGCAAGCACCTTTCATTTAACTGATAAATAACTAATGTAATAAATTTGATAAAATAATAAAATTAAAATAAAAAATACTACTTTAAAATGTTAATTATTTTTCTTTTACTTTTTTTGCGTTTCATTTGTTTTGTTTATAACTGATAATAATAAGTATAAAAGTAAACGAAAACAAAAATAAGGAAACAAATATTTTTGTATTTCTGTTCGTTATAAATTCAGTAAAGACTATTTAAAAATTTAATTTGTCACTGTCTTTAATACACAATGTTTTTCACTTTTCAAGTAATTTATTTTAATAATTAATTTATAGGTATTTTAAATTTTTCAATAAAAAACCAAAAAAAAAAAATGAAAATTAAGTATGTTAGGACTATATTTTAGCTTCTCGCACTCTTTATTTACTTTGTTTTTTAATTAACTGTAAATTTTATAAAATTATTGTTAAATTTACTTTCCCTTTACTGATTAATGGAATTGTATGATTAATTGAATAATGTAAAAAAATGCAATTTTAAAAATAATCTCTATCTAAATGTAAACAAATGTATAGTAGCTTTATCCTCTTCTAGAAAAAAAATTGATTTTGCATCACACTCATAATACTATTAAATTCTACATTAAAACGAGAAAGTCAGGGTCATTGTAAGTCAAGATCTGTCCTTCATTTAACATATGTTTAATAATAATCTGCGAAGAAGAGTTTGTTCTACTGATTTTTATCATACAAAATGCATTAAAAGTTTAAAAATCAATTTTTTTAATTCCCTATTTTTCGTTTGTTATGTTTACTCTGAAACTTTATTCTACGCATTATTACAAGAACAAAGAATTATTTAATTTAAAATTATTTGCATACTTATACTTTCTAAAATAAAAATTTTAACTAATTTTAATTAGTAACCCAGGCAGAAAAGTCGGAGGTTTACCGATGTCTACGACCGGTGTGTCACCGGTCCGGTCGTAAAGTCGGATATATACCGGTACCGGAAAATTAGTGCCGGGCCGGATGATAAATGACAATTGGCAAAGTACCGGGCCGCCGGTAAATGTGGACATGAACCGGTGACAATAACTGGTACCGGGCCGGTAGTGGAAAAACCACCGACCAGACACAGGCCCGGTACCGACATTGTAGTCCGTTTTTACACGACCAAAGTATTTATGCCGGCAGTAACATTAGTACCGTCCCGGCGTCGGCCCAGTACCGACATTGTAGTCCGCTTTTACACCACCAAAGTATTTATGCCGGCAGTAACATTAGTACCGTCCCGGCGTCGGCCCGGTACCAACATTGTAGTCCGTTTTTACACGACTAAAGTATTTATGCCGGCAGTAACATTAGTACCGGCCCGGCTCCGGCCCGGTACCGACATTGTAGTCCGCTTTTACACCACCAACGTATTTATGCCGGCAGTAACATTAGTACCGGCCCGGTACCGACATTGTAGTCCGCTTTTACACCACCAACGTATTTATGCCGGCAGTAACATTAGTACCGGCTCGGCGTCGGCCCGGTACCGACATCAGAGTCCGCAGTTTTAGCTCCTAAGTATTTATACTGGCAGCAATATTAGTACCGGCCCGGCCCGGTACCGACATTGTAGTCCGCTTTTACACCACCAAAGTATTTATGCCAGCAGTAACATTAGTACCGGCCCGGCGTCGGCCCGGTACCGACATCAGAGTCCGTATTTTTAGCTCCTAAGTATTTATGCCGGCAGCAATATTAGTACCGGCCCGGCCCCGGCCCGGTACCGACATTGTAGTCCGCTTTTACACCACTAAAGTATTTATTTGAAAGAAAGAAAATTACTTGTCTGATACGTCTTGAAACAAAGGTAAGAAACTTTCTTTTATGATTCGTAAGTATATGATATAAGTATATATATAAAATTATTTGTATTCCGTTTAATAAAGTTTGAAATTACCCGCAGTTATAGTTGATAAGCTCACTTTGCAGTTACTTTTCACAAGCAGGTTTAGGTTAGTGGATGTGGCATCGACTTTGCAGCCTCAGGGTCCGGAGTTCAATTCCTTGTGTCTTCAAATTTTAATTAACTATTTATGGTGTTTTTAATTATAACTCTGTTTCAGCATTCTATATACTGATATTAATTAAGAAATAATAATGATTAAATTAATTAAATTAATAATAATACACATATGTACATAATGTAATAAACAGATACCATGCCAGCATTACGCCAGCAGAAAAGTGTTATAATGTTTTTATTTTTTTTTTTTGTTTAACCGGCCCGGAACTAATAAACGGTTGGGTCGGTTATTAATCGAGTTATCATTGTTGACTGGGCCGGCTACGAGCCGGTGTGAATGTCGATACCGGGCTGGTACCTAAACTTCCACTGCGCCAGTAATTCGCCGGTCGTGTTACCGGTTTTAAACCGGCATTAAAACAGTATTTATGAGTACCGGCCCGATACCGCACCGTTTGTTTATTAATACCGACCCGGTACCGAACTGGTTGAATATTAGTTCCGGCCTGATGCCATACCGGTTGTTTATTAATACCGGCCCAGTACTAATAAACGACTGGGCCGGACATTAATCGAGTTATCATTGTTGACTGGACCGGCTACAAGCCAACGGAAATGCAGGACTTCCGCCGGTACCGGCAAGTCCGTCTTCGACACCGGCCCGGTACCAAACCGGTCGTCGATTTCTGCCTGAGAACTAACTTCTTGCTTTTGAATATTAGTAAAATTTAATTAATTCATTTATCACTAACTAATTTGAATTAGTTTAAAAAATTTACTAATTCTGATTATAAGAGAATTATTAATTTTTTTTATTAAACTAGGAGTCGTAAAAAAATTTTTTTATTATTATCTTTTACAATAAAAATATGTAATAAATTTTTTCAAATTTCAATGTTTTGGTAAATTTTTACCATTATTATTCTGAAGATTTTAGATAAAGAAAGATCACATAATTTTAAAATTTGATTAGAATTTTTTTGACGTCTCTCATTTAAAAAGTTTTGTAATAATTTTTAATTATAAAATTATTTACAAACAATAAGATAAGATTATTATTTTTAAAAGAAAAGAAAAATATACTATTTTTTATTAACATTTGCCCATTAACCTGAATCATTGTATAGATAATATATAGACAAGGTTAACACACTGTTAATTTGTTGCATATAAAAGATCCAAGCATTATGTAGATTTCATCCCATTCTCTCTTTATCTTCAACTTTCTTACACTGTAAGTACAAAACTTTTATTATCATGAAAATTTCTGAAATATATTATTTAATAAAAAAATTTCTATTATATAACAATGCTAATTGTTATTATTATTGTTAGATAAATTATATATTAAATGTGACGCATTTTGAAAAATTGAACCCAAGAAGCAAAGAAATTTATAGGTTATGTTTTATATGTTATATCACAAATATAAATAGAAATCAGATTTAATTAAATATTTTTTATGTAATGAAAATCTTAAACTTTGCATTGAGTGTAGAAACATTAAAAATTTCGAAACATAACCTATAATTTTTTGCTCCTTCGGTCCCTTTCTTCGTCAGAGCGCGTCATATATACAATATATTTACATCCAAATGTAATATTTTAGTTCATAACCTAAAAAATGGAAAAAATTATAGGTTATGTTAATGAATTTATTACAAGTAATATTGAGGTGATATTACACTGTAATATTAAAATAATATTTAGATAATATTACATGACTTAATATTTAATGAAAAAATTTTGACATGGTGGGAATCGAATTTCGAATCTACCGCACATCAATCAAGAGTCTTAACCAATGGACCACTTTTACTTGTAGTATGACACAAGTGTGTAGAAGCACAAGTGGTCCATTGGTTAAGGCCAGGTCCAAGTCGAGTCAGCTGTTCCTTTGAAGTTTCAATGGAACAGCTGACACGACTTGGACCTGGCCTTAAGATTCTTGACTGATGTGCGGTAGGTTGCAAGTTCGATTCCCGCCATGTCAAAATTTTTTCATTAAATATAAAGTCATGTAATATTATCTAAATATATTATTTTAGTATTACAGTGTAATATTATCTTAATACCACCTATAATATTATCATGAGGTGGACATTTTAATATTACTGAAACATTACTGTAATATTACGAATCTTTCATGTAATATTATTGTGATATTAAAGTAAAATTACGTGCTCTTTGGAATATTGTTTATAGTCATGAGTCGGTAAAGTAGATCACTATGAATATTTTACCGACTCATGAGGACTAAACTTAATTTTCTAAAAATTTATCATAACAATAATTTAAAATGAATTTAATTTGTTAGAAACTCAAAAACAATAATGGCTGGATTTAAATTATTGTTGGTGCTCTTGGCAACCATTTTAATGATGATGGCTCCAATTATTAATGCTTGTGAAGGACCTGGTGTAAAATGTCAACCCGATGGAAGTACAAATTGTTGTTCTAAATATTGCCATAAAGAAGCAAATTGGAGTGAAGGGGAATGCAGAGACAGATAGTCGACTTAAATTATTGATTACTGTTGTACACAAAAAAAGTTATATTCTTGTATTTGGATTATATATTTGATGAATTTATTTTATTGTAATAAAAAAAGTATCATTTAAATTAAAATTTTTTTAAATATTTGCATGTTAAGCACATTTAAAAAACTTAATCTCTTTAATAATCTTTTTAGTTTTTACAAAAGTATAAAAAAAAATATTTTTTCTGGAATCTTAATAAGTGAACAATTTACTTATAAGATAAGGGGAGGCACCACCACCAATTTGGACCTACTTAAATTTAAATTATTAAACGAGTTGATATTTTTTTCTTGCATCATTTAGTTCCTAAAAACATATAAGGTGGTCAAAAAAAGAAAATTTTAATTTTTGACCATTTTAGAATTTTTATTTTTTGAAAAAATTTATCTTTTTGAAAATCCATACGAAAGATTTACTGTGGGTTCAAAACAGTTTTCTGTAACATTAAATTTTTAAAAATTAAGACTGATATTGTTTATCACAGCAAACTTTTTTGATGTAACAGCAAAAAATTTAGCTGTGGTTACTAATTTTGATAGATCCGATAGCAAACATCAGTTAGCATCTGTAAGCAATTCCTTTTTTTTTTGTTTACAATTTATAAAAAAAAAAAATTTTTGAATTATACAATGTGTCAAAAATATTGTTACAAGTTACAGAAAATTTAAGAATAAGAGTAGACTGGCGGTTAAGACATCAAATTGCACCAAAAAGACCAAAGAATATTATAAAACAAAAGTTTTTAAAATAATGTAGAATTAAAAAAAAACAAAAGTGAAATACGTATTTCTAAAAAATATATTTTTTTCACTTAAAATACTGAAACATCATTATAAACTTTATTTTAATAAAGTTTTAATGAAATACTTAAAAATAATGATGAAAAATTATTCATTTTCTGCAGACGAAAAGGTATGTAACCTCTTAATATCACAGCAATATTAAAATAAAGATACAAATGTAAATTTTTCATTATTCTATAATAGGTCTTATATTGATAAAAAATATTTGTTTTTTCTCTTGTGTTCGAAGGTTATAAATTTTTGTTTTTGAATTTCACTTAAAAAAATAGCAAAATTATATTTCCATAACAGATTTTTGAGGAGTGTAAAACATATTTTATTGCGTAACAAAATCCTTTTTTGGATTCTTTTAACTGTCCGTATTTCTATTGTTCAAAAATATACCTAATCTAAAAAGGAATTTTATTTTATTTATTGTTTTATTTTTCAAATAATTTAATTTTTATTTATAAACATTTGTTTTATTAACTGAAATAATAAATACAAGTGAATAAGGTAAAAATACGTTAAATTTTCTTCATATAAAAAGCCAACAGGTTTCATAGATTGTATAACCTGTTCAGCTTTCTTCAAAATTTATTTCTGAAATTCTATAGTAAGTATTTTGTAATAAAGCAAAATTTTCATATTTGTATTTCATTAATATACGCAATAACATAATTATATTTAAGTACATGAAATATTTACGTAAGAAATAAGTCCATGATAATTGACAAAAAAGTTTATTAAAGAAAATTTTTAATTTGTAATAATTTTTAATACTTGTAATAATGATGTTATTGAACTTTAACTGATAATTTTAAATTAAATTTTCAGTTAACTTATCATGAAATTACGTGCTTTTACTCTTTAATTTGTTTTTGTATTATTTATACTAAAATTAAATTGTACAAAAGGAAATAATTCTTGACAAATCTGAGTTGCGAATTTTATTAACCACACCTGACTTAAGTAACTTGGTTCTCAGTGGGCAAAAATACACCACTTGGTCCAAAAACCTTTCCAAATCGTTTTTAGCACGTACATGTCTGCTAAAATTACATTCCAAGAATGTTTCATATTGTAAAAACGTTTTTAGAACATGAAATATTTTTAGAACTTTATTTAAGTAGACATTAACTTTATAAGAACGATTTTGGAACGTAGAACTTTTTGTGCCCACTGGGTTTGCTTGATGTATCAGTTTTAATATTTACTGATTTAGAATTTTTAGCAACAAGACTTTTTATGTGCTAATTTAGTTCAATTTGATAATGTTTTTAGAGAACCTATAAATAAAAAGATGACAAATTTCAAATTGTTCTTGTTTCTTTTGGCAATCGTTGGATGCTCTATAGAAAATTGCAAAGCATGGAGGACTACCAATAGTCCTTGTGCACCAGATGGAACTCCATGTCAACCTGATGGAAGTACAAATTGTTGTACAGGATTTTGTTATAAACAATTAGGATGGGCAATAGGATATTGTAGAGCACGAACCGTTACCAATAGTCCTTGTGAACCTGACGGAACTCCATGCCAACCTGATGGAAGTACAAATTGTTGTACAGATTTTTGTTATAAACAAGTTGGATGGTCCATAGGATATTGCAGAGCACGAACTGTTACCAATAGTCCTTGTGCACCAGACGGCACTCCATGTCAACCTGATGGAAGTACAAATTGTTGTACAACATTTTGTTACAAACAATTAGGATGGTCTATAGGATATTGCAGAGCTCGAACTATTGGCCCTTGTGCACCAGATGGAACTCCATGTCAACCTGATGGAAGTACAAATTGTTGTTCAGACTTTTGTTATAAACAAGTAGCATGGGATATTGGATATTGCAGATACCGCTAAATAAACAACAGAATGTTGCTACAATGTTAAAATTATAAACAAGCATCTTTTTAATCTGAATGTAATTGTTGAAATTATAGTATAGTACAACATTGATTTTGATGTAATTTGAAATACAAACTTTTTTAAATCTGCAAATATTAAAACTATTGTCTATAATAAGTATAACCTAGACTGCGACATCTTTATAACTTAAAAAAAATCTTACTTTTAATTACTATTAAAGACTTTATTCAAAATTGTTATTAGAAATTCAGCATTACCTGCTGGGTAATATTGCGAACGCAACAAATATTTCAATGTTTAATATATATATATATATACAAAAGTAAACGACATGTTTAAAGATTGTCATATCATTTCTATTTGTTGAATTACTGAATTCAGAAGAATGAGACAGAACGGGGACTTGGACTAAACGGTGAGTTCGGAATATATATTTTAAAATATATAAAAAATATTTTACAAACTATCCTTTGCATTTTTCCAGTAAATTTACATTGATTACTTCCAAGAAGTTAACACCGAAAAGAAAAAACGGACGATATTTACAGATTTATGGAACTTAACTGAGTTTTTCTATTTTGAAAACAAAAAATAACGCCTAGTTGAAAAATTCAGGAAGTCTTCATTACACTATCAACTTCATTCATGATTTTTTCCAGGATTGAAAAACAGGAAGAACATGTTTAAAAGGTAAAATTAATTTTTATTTTTTAAATAAATTAATTAAAATTTAATAATTTGTTATTGCAATGATTTTTTTCATAAATTTCAACATTTTTAGAGTAAAAAACATTCAGAAATTTTTTTATAGGATAAAAAAAATGAAAAAGAAAAAAATGTTACAATAATTTTTTAATGCAGACATCTCTGAAAATATATTAAAAAACTTAATTCAAAATTTACATATTCATTTAACATCAAAATGTCTCTCAAAACCCAAAAGTTAAGAAAAATCTGAGACATCATATATAGTTTTCATATAAAACGCCCCATGTATATGAGTTAAAAAGTATTTGTTTATATTTTTATAATTTATTCTTACGTGAAATAAACCACAATTACTTTAAACATTTAGATATAATTCAAAATAATTCTTTAATTTTTTTTGTAAAATATACTTAAATAAATGAAATGAAATTTATAATTACATCTTTTAATAAAAAAAACTATAAATAACTCAATTTGATTTTATTTCATGAAAAATATATTTAAAAAAAATTTTGAATACATTTAAGTTGTAATAAAAGTTTTATATTAAAAACTAATTTATTATTTTACCTTAAAATTATCTGTGATAAAATATTATAAACATTTTTTTAACATAAAATAAAATTAAACTTGTTTAATTTACCGCTATTGGAAACAAATTTATAAGGAAAGTTAGCATATTTAAAAAAAATTTAATAATTTTGCGCTTTTAATAGTGTTATGCGCTTTTATAGACACTTTTTTATTAAATTGTAATTTATTATTCAAGATAAAAATCATCTGCGATAAATTATTATAAATATACTGTGAATTTATTGTAACGAATTATATTATTGTTAATAATAATCATTATTGTTGAAGTGAAAAAAATAAATCCTATATTACATTTTATAATATATTATATTCATAATAAATAAAATAATCATTAATTAAATTATATTATTAATAAATTATTATTAAATTATTAATAATTTTGTTCATCGAAGAATTCAAATTTAAATAGGTCGAGCGGCATTTCCAGTAGTGTAATATTATCAGCCAATCAGTGTTTGGTATTCTGCGTTTTACCACTACCAGTGTCGTGCGCCACTTCCAACAAGGAGAAATTATTTCCAACCAATCAACGCACGGCGTTCATAGTGGAAAGAGCGCCCCACCACCTGCAGCGTCACTTTTCAAATCTTCACGCATTTAGTCCGCCATGAGCCACGTGCCGAGGAAGATGTCTTGAACTTTGGTGAGTTTCTCTCTTTTACTGAACCCCGATACCACCTCCTTTTCCAGGAAGTTAACCAGGTGAAGTTCCATACTTAATCTGTTAACTTCCAGTTAAATTCCATGCATGTCTATATATTTCCCTTCTTTTTCTTTCCTTTGTTAACTTTCTAGTATTTATCAATTATTTACTAGAAAAATACAAAGGATTTTTTTGTGAAATATTAAAGTCTAAGATTTAAAGATTGTGGTTTAAATTTTTTTTTATGAAACTGTAACTGGCACCTGGCTATCAGCCCCGAGTTAATTTTGAAAAAAATTATGTTAGCAATACCAAAAATAAAGTTCATGAAATTAATTTTATTAACATTATTTATGTTATTGCTAATATAAATTTTTTTAAAATTAACTCGGGGATGATATCCATGTGCCTCTTACAGTTTCATAATTTTTTTTAAAGTATCCAATCAAAGTACTTTAAATAATAACATTTGAATTTCCTCGAAAATAGAAATATAAATTTTTGTGAAAAGAAATATTTTATTTGAAGCAGACAACCTCGATCTTGTTTTCTTAATATTGTTTCGTTAAATATTATTAATTTATTAAAAATTTATTAAACAAGAGAAAATATGTGTATACTTTGTATTAAATTTAATACAAAATATTTACCTATTTTTCTTCGTTTGATGGATTTTTAATAAAATAATAATATTAAAAAGAAACAAGAGGGGATTGTTCGCTTCATTTAAAAGGCCCTTAATATCATTAAATAATTTCAATACATATTTATATGTAATCTGAACAGTGAAAAAGAGGCTTCCGTGCGAATAAATTTATTTTTTATTGATTAGTGATTCTGATGGAAAAAAGTTTTGTCAGAATCACCAATCAATAAAAAATCTATTTTTTCGCACGTAAGTCCCCTTTTCACTGTTCAGGTTACATTTAATATTTAATTATATATAATTAATTTTTACTTTATTTTTTAATTAATACTTTTGTTTGAATATTATTGTCTACAGATAAATAAATTAAATAGTTTTTTACAATAAAAAATATTAGTAAACAATAAATAGTAAAAATAACAGTAAAATAATAATAAAGAATAATATTCAAACAAAAATACTAAGTAATTAAATAAAGTAAAAAGTATGAAATATATAAATAAATAATTAAAAAAATATGTAAAATAACTTAACTAACCGAGGAAATTCAAATGTAAATAAACATTTAAAGTACTTGGAACAGATACTTTAAAAGAAACATTTAAAACTATAAACAATCTTTAAACCTTAAGAAGACTTTAAAATTTCAGAAAAAAATCCTATGTATTTTTGTAGTAAATAAACAATTGATAAATACAAGAAAGATAAGAAAGGAAAGAAAAAAAAGAAGGGAAGCATATGTAGACATCCGTGGAAGAGAACTGGAAGTTTCAGAATTAAAACAGGAACAGACTCTGGTTAACAGATAGGAAAGGGAACCGGTAAAAGGGAGAAGTAAAAGAAGAACTCTACTAAATCTCAGGACACGAGGCACCTGGTTCGAAGGAGGAGAGAGGAGGACACAGGAGACAGTTGAAGAAGAAACAATATCTATGATAAATTTTTTCCAATAAAAATTTTATTAATTAATCTTGTACATATTATTATACTATCATTCATAACGTCCATCCCTTCTTCTGGTGGAGTCTTTCTTTTACTTCTCCCTTCTACCGGTTCCCTTTCCTATCTGTTAACCATGGTCCGTTCCTGTTTTAATTCTGCAACTTCCAGTTATCTTCCACGGATGTCTACATATACTTCCCTTCTTTTTTTCCTTTCCTTTCTTATCTTTCTTGTATTTATCAATTGTTTATTTACTACAAAAATACATAGGATTTTTTTCTGAAATTTTAAAGTCTTCTTAAGGTTTAAAGATTGTTTATAGTTTTAAATTTTTCTTTTAAAGTATCTGTTTCAAGTACTTTAAATGTTTATTTACATTTGAATTTCCTCGGTTAGTTAAGTTATTTTACATATTTTTTTAATTATTTATTTATATATTTCATACTTTTTACTTTATTTAATTACTTAGTATTTTTGTTTGAATATTATTCTTTATTATTATTTTACTGTTATTTTTACTATTTATTGTTTACTAATATTTTTTATTGTAAAAAACTATTTAATTTATTTATCTGTAGACAATAATATTCAAACAAAAGTATTAATTAAAAAAAAAGTAAAAATTAATTATATATAATTAAATATTAAATGTAACCTGAACAGTGAAAAGGGGACTTACGTGCGAAAAAATAGATTTTTTATTGATTAGTGATTCTGACAAAACTTTTTTCCATCAGAATCACTAATCAATAAAAAATAAATTTTCTCGCACGTAAGACTCTTTTTGACTGTTCAGATTACATATAAATATGTATTTAAATTATCCAATGATATTAAGGGCCTTTTAAATGAAGCGAACAATCCTCTCTTGTTTCTTTTTAATATTATTACTTTGAAATATTATTATTTTATTAAAAATCCATCAAACGAAGAAAAATAGGTAAATATTTTGTATTAAATTTAAAACAAACTATACACATATTTTCTCTTGCTTAATGAATTTTTAATAAATTAATAATATTTAACGAAACAATATTTTAAAAAAACAAGATCGAGGTTGTCTGCTTCAAATAAAATATTTCTTTTCACAAAAATTTATATTTCTATTTTCGAGGAAATTCAAATGTTATTATTTAAAGTACTTTGATTGGATACTTTAAAAAAAATTATGAAACTGTAAGAGGCACATGGATATCATCCCCGAGTTAATTTTAAAAAAATTTATATTAGCAATAACATAAATAATGTTAATAAAATTAATTTTATTAACTTTATTTTTGGTATTGCTAACAAAAATTTTTTCATAATTAACTCGGGGCTGATGGCCATGTGCCAGTTACAGTTTCATAAAAAAAATTTAAACCACAATCTTTAAATCTTAGACTTTAATATTTCACAAAAAAATCCTTTGTATTTTTCTAGTAAATAATTGATAAATACTAGAAAGTTAACAAAGGAAAGAAAAAGAAGGGAAATATATAGACATGCATGGAATTTAACTGGAAGTTAACAGATTAAGTATGGAACTTCACCTGGTTAACTTCCTGGAAAAGGAGGTGGTATCAGGGTTCAGTAAAAGAGAAAAACTCACCAAAGTTCAGGACATCTTGCTCGGCACGTGGCTCATGGCGGACTAAATGCGTGAAGAATCGAAAAGTGACGCTGCATGTGGTGGGGCGCTCTTTCCGCTATGAACGCCGAACGTTGATTGGTTGGAAATAATTTCTCCTTGTTGAAAGTGGCGCGCGACGCTGGTAGTGGTAAAACGCAGAATACCAAACACTGATTGGCTGATAATATTACTTTCCTGGAAATGCCGCGGGACCCATTTAAATTTAAATTTTCGTATGATCAAAATTATTATTTTTAATAATAATTTATTGAGCATTTCTTTCCGATGTCCATTTGGAATTATTTTCAACATTTCCTGATGTTGTCTTTGACCTCTTCTTCTTAGTAATTGGCTGAAAATTCAACAAATAATTTAAGAATTATTATTTTTCATTTCAACAATGATGATTTTTATTGACAATAATATAATTAATTACAATAAATGCACAGTATGTTTATTACAATTTATCAAAAATGATTTTTACGTAAAATAATAAATTACAATTTAATATAAAACTGTCTATAAAATCACATAACACTAAAAAAAGTTCAAAATTATTGAATTTTTTTAAAAATATACTTAAAGGGATGAAGTGGAATAAAATAATTATTATAAGGGGTCATTCATAAATTATGTCACACATTTTTTTTACCTTTTTGACCCCCACTTTTACACTTCTTTACAATTTCAATACAAAATAGTTTCCCATGGCGGTAAATTAAACAAGTAATATAACATAAAATGTTTATAATATGAATCTTATTGTATGAATATTATTCTTTATTACCTATTATTTTATTGTCATTTTTACTATTTATAATTATTATTAAATTCATTTAACCAGTATTAACAATTGCATTTTATGACAAATTTTTTGTCCTTTTCAAATGGTTGTTATTTTGTTAAAAAACAAAACAATAATGATTTAAATAAATAAACAATTAAACTTTTATGATTTGTAAACTATTTTGTAATTAATGATATTTATACAAAAATATTATTTTAATAAATAATGAAAAAATATATTGCATATAATTAAATTTCCTATAAATATGCATTCAAATTATCTAATGACATTTGGGGCTTTCTAAATGAAGCGAAAAAACCCCCTTGCTTTTTTAAAATTTATTATTACTTTTAAGTATTATTATTTATTAGAAATCTACCAAACAGAAGAAAATAGAGAAAAAATTTTTTTTTCAATTTTACACAAAGTCCGCACATAATTTCTTTTGTTTGATAGATTTTTAATAACTTAGTAATATTTAAAAGAATAATAATAGAAAAAGGATCGAGGTTATCTACTTCAAATAGAATATCCCATTTTACAAAAATTTATAGTTTGGGACTTACTTATCAGTCGCGAGTTAAATGAGCGTTCTAAACGTTCAAATGAACGAAATATTTTTTTTAATCTATAAATTTTTAAAAATTATGATGGCGATGTAAAATAAAACAGTATATTAAACAATTGTTAAATTAATAACTTCTTTTTAGATATTTCAAACAATATTTTGTTGATGACTAAGTGCCAGTTTCAGTTTCATAAAAAAAAATTTTAAATCACAATCTTTAAATCTTAGACTTTAATATTTCACAAAAAATCCTTTGCATTTTTCTAGTAAATAATTGATAAGTACTAGAAAGTTAACAAAGGAAAGGAAAAGAAGGGAAATATACAGACTTGCATGGAATTTAACTGGAAGTTAACAGAGTTAGGGTACGGTCATACTATCTCATGCATGCAGAAACATTTGGCAGGTTACACTTCAAACGAAATCTAGTGAATGTTTCGTACGTTTCTAGTAATTTTCCAAAAGTTTCGGTTGTAAATAGAAAGTTACTGAACATTCACTAGATTTCGTTGAATTGTGATCGGCCAATGGTTTCTGCATGCATGAGATAGTGTGACCGAACCCTAATTCTTTTTTATTGGAAGTGGCGCGACGCTGAAGGTTAGGGGAATCACAGAACACCAGACCTTGATTGAATGATAATATTACTGTACTAGAAATACCGCGTGACCCATTTAAATTTGAATTCTCTGATAATAAAAATTCCAGTTTTTATTAATAATGCACAGAGAAATTTTTTATGTTCTTAGAGACTTATTTCCACGATTGGCTAATATTAATTGATCTTGCTAATTTTATTGCAAATTAAATTTTGTAATAAGATTATCGGACGTCTGTGCTGCTTTCATACACATCGAAAGTGTCAAAAACCTTCTTTCTTCAGAAAACAATTGAGCTGGCGAATCACAGAAGGGCACATAAACAATGTAATTCAAATGGGTTATGTGCGCCCTTTTTTTGATCCGGTAGTACAATTGCAAATTTAAAGAAATTGATATTTATTACTTTCTACTACAAAAAAAATTATTTAAAATACAACAAGTAATGACAATTAATTCACTGTATGATTGTAATGATTTATAGAAAATAAATGTAGTATAATTGAACCGCCGGATCGTAGAAGGGCAGTTTTTGGACTCTCGAGGACGTGGGATCGAGTCCTCCCAGAGTAAATTTTTTTTCTCGCAAACGTAAAAATTTATTCTAAAACAAGTTCAAGACTTTCTGTAGTAAGTTTAGGAAGTTGTCTTGAATTTCTCTACAATTCTTATAGAAATACTGCTTAGAATTTTTCAAAGAAAATATAAATAAGATTTCTTAAATTTTTCTCATATCCTCAGTTCCTGAACAAATTTAGGAATGATTCTTGCATAAAGTTTTTCCGTGTAATATTTTATTCAATTTTATGTTCAACTCGTCATAAATCCGAAGTTTTTTGACTTGTTAATTTTAAATTCAAAGAATTTATTCATCAAAGTGTATTCACAAGGTTTCAATAAATTTGCTCCAATCATAAAAAATTCTTGTGATTACATTTCATGGAATTGCTCAATTATTTAATTATTGCACTCTTAAAAAACGATAAAAGATAAAAGAATATAGCGAGAGAAAAACATCAAAAACTTTAAAATAATGATTATTGAATTCGAAACATTAATAAAATATAATGCATACAAAAAATAAAAATTATTTTTTTAAAAAATTGTTTAAAAATGTATATTCAAAAACATTAAAATAATTTTTTAAAAACTAAAAGTCTTTACAATAACTAAATATCCAGGATATAAAGCATCACGCCACTATTACTATGCTCACGGCCGGGCCTAAAGCGGCGTACCAAAAAGTAAAACTTATAAATTCTAAATGTTTCATCAAATTAGTTTAAAACCTTTCGGAAAAACTTTATTGAACTATTATAAACAATTCTTCCGCTGGAAGTTTTTCCAATTCGAAAGTTCGTCACAGACTTTTTTCATTTGAAAGTATTAAATAATTTTTTTTTGCCTTTAACATGAATAAATTAATAAAAATGTTAATTATTATTTTAATTTATTTATTGTTCATCTAAAACTTTTTGGACACTTTGGTGAATAAATCCTCTGAATTTGAAGTTAACAAGTCAAAAAACATCGGATTTATGACGAGTTGAACACATAAAATTGAATGAAATATTACTGTATACAAAAATCAAGTTTTTTGCAATTATTTTAAAAACAATTCACTGTAAGAAAAAACTTTATTGAGAAAAAAGTTGCATAATTTTATTCTCTACAAGGATATAATATTCAAAAATCAAAATTAAAAAAAAAAATTTTTTCATGTCAGGGGCCAACTTAAAGCGCTAGATCCGACGATTTAATTACACTTGGAAGAAATTTAAAAAATATCTTACTTCCATTTTTTAAAACATTTTTAATTGAAAAGATTTCGTTATGCAGCATACTACTGTTTAGTTTATCCTATTTTAGTTTTGTTCAATTAAGAAAATAAAATTTGTTGTGTGAAATAATTTTTAACTTTATCAATTAACTAAATATTTTTCTGTAGTAAATTAGTTGATGAATTGAAAAAGCTAATTGTTTTTAGAGTTTTTTCCTATTATTAATATGTAATGCGAGAAGGAAAAGTTTTTCCAGTTTTAATTTTCCTTTTCTCAGAAAGATTAGGTAATCAACGAAGGAAAATTAATACATTTTATAAACATTTGTCTAAAGAGATGTAATGTTAATAAGGTAAAAGTGCAATGGATTTTCTTTATATAAAAGCCCAACAGGTTTGTTACACTTCATACCTTGTACAGCTTCTTTTAGTGTATTCCTGAAATACTGTAAGTATTTACTTTAATAAAGTATAATTTTCAAATCTTTTCATTAATATTATTTGGATAAAAATTTTCTATAATACTATAATTCAAGAATTAATTTATATTAATATAAAAATAATTATAAAAAATTTTTTAAATTTTTTACTTACGTACGAAAGGGTTGATAGTTGGGCATCAAGAGCCTACTTTCCGCCTGCTATACATGCACGGAAAGTCGCATTTATCGTGTATGTTAGATAAAAAAATATTTGTTACAAGAGTCATAAAGAAGATTCATCTGTAAGAGATTAAATAAAAAGATTTATTGAAATAGCTAAATATATTTTTTAAAATTTAGAAAGTTGTACTTACTTATTCTACAGTAACTATTTCAGTTGATATGTACAGAAAAAACCTAGTCTCATTTTTGTTGCAACTCAAAATGAGCAAATGCTAAACGACATAGATAGTGACGCCACCAATCTGGCTCACTTTTGGTGCACTTCAAAATGAGTAGCGTACGTTACTCATTTTAAGACCAGGTTTTTTCTGTGTGGACTAATTAAAATAAAGCTTTATATATTATCGTTATTTTTGACATACTATTATAAAACATAACATGTTTAATGCTATATATATGTAATTCAATTTAATACTGTTATTAGACAAACTACAAATAAAAAATGGCCAGTATCAAAATGTTGTTCGTCCTCTTGGCAACAGTTTTAATGTTTGTGGCTCCTGCTATCAATGCTTGTGAAGGAAATGGAACTCCATGTCAACCTGATGGAACTACAGATTGTTGCTCAGGATTTTGTTATAAACAAGTAGGATGGGCAATAGGATATTGCAAAGCTCGCTAAGTTTAAAAACCGAATTTTGTTACATTTTTTATTTAAATAAACTATTTTTGAATCTTGATGTAATTATTAAAATTAGTAACACGACATTGGTTTTTGGACAATAATAAAATATTCAATGTAAATTGAAATTTAAGTAAAAAATAAAAATTTTTGTAAACCTACAGATTTGTTAAAATTTTTTCTATAAATGCATCTACTTGAACCTCAACTTTGTTCTTTAAGTTATCACAAAAAATAATTTCATAAGTCACTTTTTTAAACATTTACTAATTAACAGTAGAGCAATTTCATGGTTCACTGAGAAACAAAGACTGCCATTTTAGGGGTAATGCCATGCTATTTTGGCATGAGTTACACTGACAACAGAAAACTGCTGTTTCAGTATTGGAACACTGTTCTTTTAGCATTGTGATACTGCAAACGCTCTGTATCACAATGCTAAAACGGCAGTGTTCCAATACTGAAACAGCAATTTTCTGTTGGCAGTGTAACTCATGACAAAATAGCATGGCTTTACCGCTAAATCGGCAGTCTTTTTCTCTCAGTATATATATTCAGAAGAATTTTAAATAATTTCATCAAATTTTTTTTTAAAAAAACAAAAAATAATATTTTATTTTATTATTTTTTACATTAAACCGCAGAAATGAAAAAAAAATTTTGTACTGGCGTTGTTGATTCTGGCCTTTTTAGCCTGATAAAATCTTGACTAAATCCAAATTTGAGGTCAGATTTAACAAATTCAAAATTTGGATTCAGCGACCCCAAAAATCACCGAGTACCGAATTTTGAACAAATCGAATCAATTTTAAATTTTTTCCGCCATATTGGGTCCGCCATTTTGAATTTTTTAAATCTGACCTCAAAGTTGGATTCAGCAACCCCAAAAACTTTTAATACTATGATATGATATTTTTTTGGAAACTTTTTTATGGACCCACAAACGATTCTTCTACTGGACTGCGAAGGAGTTAATTTAAGGCTACATTGAAAGTTAGTTTATTTACAATTTAAATAAAACGTTACAGTGTGTAACGAAATAGCCAGATACTGTTATTTTTTGGTCCTGTTTTCCGAAAATACATGTCTTTTCTTTTGCGCATAAAAGTTTAATTTTGTTGAACGGTGTAATGCATTAGAAATAATTTTTCAAACTATTCAAATAATTGTAATAATATTTTGAAGAAAATACGTTTTACTTATCAACTTGTAAAATTTTAAAGCATAGTACATTGCAGTTTATATGAGGGTGATTCTTCGCGTAGCGCACGATTTGGTGTCTGAAACTTTAAAAATATTTTTTTATCAAAATGATAAATATCAATACATATTTTTGAAAATAAAGTGTCAAGAAATAAATATCTATGGTGAGCTGGAAAATTTTTTTTAATTTTTTTAAACAAATTAAAAAAAAAAATTCTTTGCTTTTTGAATTCTATAAAATAGTTGAAATTTGATTTTAAAAGTTTATAGAAATTTTTGGGGTAATTCACAAAAATATATATAGCGCGAACGACAATTAAAAATTTTGATTTCGGTAATTTAAGGAAATTTTAGAGGTAATTTATGGAAATTTATGCGGTAATTTATAGAAATTTTGTCTAAAATTCATAAAAACATGTAAAGCATGAATCACAATTAAAAATTTTAATTTTGGTAATTTACGGAAATTTCCGCGGTAATTTATGGGTCAATCCATTATATTTCGACTGAAGTCGTCGCTGACTAATTTTTAAAAATTATAATACTTTGCAGGAATGATTTTGAAGTTATCAAAAAAATTTTATTAAATTTTTAATTATTTATTGCAAAATATGAATTTAAAGTTTATGAGGTGCTGAAAACTGTCCATTTTTTAGCCATTAGAAAATATGCAAAAAAAAACAGAATTTACCATAAAAATAAAAAAAAATGGTTGTAATTTACTAAGAATGAATAAATTTATCATTATCAATTGATATAATTATTTAAATATGTGAAATAATATATAAAATATGATTTTCAAGTTCGCCTGTCAAATAACCTAAATTTGCAAATTTCACCTATTAAATGTGAGAAAGAGAAGTCATTAAATTGAAAAAAAACCTTACCAAATATAAAGTACCTGTGACTAACTTTTAGTTTTTCTTAGCACTTTTTTCCTTTTTTCTTCATAAATGTGAAATAAAAAGCAATAAAAATTGGCACTTTGCTTATTTTCACTATTTTCAAATGTAAATAACTTTCTTGGAGAAAACTGAAAAATTACAAAACTTGGGCAATATCTGATTGATCACTAACTACACACACTGGAAAAAAATTCGCTTTGGTCCCGAAGATACTTTTTGAGATAATTAAGTTTGAACTTTTCACAATTTTTATCAGGTTAATACATGTAGTTTTTTAAGGACGAAGTTAGGTTTTATTGGTTAAACATTTTGAATTAACTTCAATTTTATAAAAATCACATGCATTAACCTGATAAAAATTGTGAAAAATTTAAACTTAATTATCTCAAAAAGTATCTTCGGGACCAAAGCGAATTTTTTTCCAGTGTGTGTAGTTAGTGATCAATTAGATATTGCCCAAGTTTTGTAATTTTTCAGTTTTCTCCAAGAAAGTTATTTACATTTGAAAATAGTGAAAATAAGCAAAGTGCCAATTTTTATTGCTTTTTATTTCACATTTATGAAGAAAAAAGGAAAAAAGTGCTAAGAAAAACTAAAAGTTAGTCACAGGTACTTTATATTTGGTAAGGTTTTTTTTCAAGTTAATGACTTCTCTTTCTCACATTTAATAGATGAAATTTGCAAATTTAGGTTATTTGACAGGCGAACTTGAAAATCATATTTTATATATTATTTCACATATTTAAATAATTATATCAATTGATAATGATAAATTTATTCATTCTTAGTAAATTACAACCATTTTTTTTTATTTTTATGGTAAATTCTGTTTTTTTTGCATATTTTCTAATGGCTAAAAAATGGACAGTTTTCAGCACCTCATAAACTTTAAATTCATATTTTGCAATAAATAATTAAAATTTTAATAAAATTCTTTTCATTTCGTGATCTTGATATATATATATATATATAGCGCGAACGACAATTAAAAATTTTATTTTGGTAATTTATGGAAGTTTATGCGGTAATTTATGGAAATTTATACGGTAATTTATAGAAATTTATTTGGTAAGTTATAGTAAACTTACTGGAGCTATGATAGTTTATAATAAATATTTTGAATTTCGTTTGTTTCATTGTGTATTAAACTTGCATTAGTGACAGTCGAAGTTCTGTGGCGGGTGGAGACGCTGGGGTCGGTGGAACCGGAGGAACTGGCGTTAATAATTTTTTTTTTTTTTTTTTTTTGAGAAAATTATGATTTATTTTTAATCGGTTTCATATGTTTCACATATGAGGAGCTGGAAAGTAAAACTCGCTCTCCGCTCGGATGGACTCCGTAGAGCCAGTCAAACATTTGAAAAAGTGATGAAAATTGAAATTCAAAATTTTGAATTTTGAAAAGTACTACATTATAGGAAATTAAAAGGCGCATCTTTTTTTCCTTTGAAATTTTTTTATAAAACGAATATTTTAGTTTCTAGAGACCAAAAACTGAGAAATTTAAATTGTTAAATTTAATTAAGTTTTAAAACATAAATCATCGTATCTCCGACAATTATTAATGAATTTGATTCAAATTTGAGATGTACACGTAATAGGGTCTACTGAAGGCGACAAAATAATGAAAAATTAAAAAATCATTAATTGTTTAAATTTTTTTAAATAAAAATTGTGACCAGTTGATAATAACGTTTTCTTACTTTCATCGACAAAAAGTCTGCGGGGAACTTTGTAGTTTAGAAAACTTCCAGTGAGACATTTGTTTATCACTATATAAGGAAGTTTTCTGTAAAATATTAAACCAATTCATTGAAAACTTTAAAAATTATTCAAGTTTTAAGAAAGCGCGGTCGACGCGCAAGTAAGTCCTAACGCTATTCGTACAGACAGCTGTTCCGTGCATGAAATATAATTAGATTTTCACATTAAAGTATAAATTTCTTTATTATTATTATTATTATTATTATTATTATTATTATTATTATTATTATTATTGCCTATTCAGAATTAAAGTTTGTTGACAATTAATACTACAATGTTCAATTCTGTAATTACCATGTTATTTTATTGAACAAATATAATTTACAAATTTTTTGTCATTTTGAATAAATGGAAAATTATATGTTTTTTAAAAATGATGCTAATAATACATTTTTTGTTATTATTTATTAACAAACAGTTGTATATACATTGTTAATGTTAAATTTTTTTATTACCTTATATTTACTAATTTTTTCAAATTTTTTTTTTATTATTTCACTTAATTTCGATACATACACTTTATAATGATGATATATAAAATAATTTTATATATTATATTATATATTATATTATATATATATATATATATATATATATATATATATATATATATATATATATATATATATATATATATATATTATATATTACAGAATTGAACATTGTAGTATTAATTGTCAACAAACTTTAATTCTGAATAGGCAATAATAATAATAATAATAATAATAATAATAATAATAATAATAATAATAATAATAAAGAAATTTATACTTTAATGTGAAAATCTAATTATATTTCATGCACGGAACAGCTGTCTGTACGAATAGCGTTAGGACTTACTTGCGCGTCAACCGCGCTTTCTTAAAACTTGAATAATTTTTAAAGTTTTCAATGAATTGGTTTAATATTTTACAGAAAACTTCCTTATATAGTGATAAACAAATGTCTCACTGGAAGTTTTCTAAACTACAAAGTTCCCCGCAGACTTTTTGTCGATGAAAGTAAGAAAACGTTATTATCAACTGGTCACAATTTTTATTTAAAAAAATTTAAACAATTAATGATTTTTTAATTTTTCATTATTTTGTCGCCTTCAGTAGACCCTATTACGTGTACATCTCAAATTTGAATCAAATTCATTAATAATTGTCGGAGATACGATGATTTATGTTTTAAAACTTAATTAAATTTAACAATTTAAATTTCTCAGTTTTTGGTCTCTAGAAACTAAAATATTCGTTTTATAAAAAAATTTCAAAGGAAAAAAAGATGCGCCTTTTAATTTCCTATAATGTAGTACTTTTCAAAATTCAAAATTTTGAATTTCAATTTTCATCACTTTTTCAAATGTTTGACTGGCTCTACGGAGTCCATCCGAGCGGAGAGCGAGTTTTACTTTCCAGCTCCTCATATATATATATATATATATATATATAGACTAAAATAATATAACTACACTTTATTTAACCTTTATTATTTAATTATATTCTATTTTTTTAAATAATATTGAAGGGTCGGTGGATGCCGGTGGAGACGATTTTGTGATGCCCTGTACAAATTTGAATCTTGAAATGTGTAAAAAAAAGGATAAATCAATTAGAAAATTGATTACTTTCTTCATGGATCAACTTAAGGAATATAACTTTTGCTGTTACTGAAGTAGAACTATATTATCATTTGACTTTTATTTAAATAATTCAATGTTTAATAATAAAACGCAAAATAACACACTAAAGTGCAGTCAAGTATAAATAGCAAAAAAAAAAAGAAAATAATTATGTTTTTGATCAAACGTTTTTTTATTCAATTCCACTACAATATACAATACTAAAATAGCAATAGAAATTGTATTTATTAGTGCACATTACTAAAACCCGTGTAGAAATTTTGCCATGGCTCGGATCGGGGCCGGATCGGGCGGGAATGTGACGCTACGCCTGATGTGTCCCTGATTAGGAAATCCCCATTTTTCTCGTGGCCCTAATCTGGCCCTGAACAGTCCCTGATCGGGACCAGATTATTATTCACTACCAGGGCCCTGGTAGGGAAATTTCTACACGGGAAATATTAACTTTTTTGTTTAAACATCCTGTGGGGACAGGTCAAATTTTGACGTTTTCAGCCTTAAAAACCACTTTTCACGATGTGATTTTTCTTTCACGACATGAAAAAAAGCAAGTTGTGCGCTACGCGGAGAATCACCCATGAACAAAGTTTCAACACAGTATTAACGAAAAAAAATTTTTTCCCTATACTTAAAAGTTGAACGTTCTCGAGATATGCACATTTATTAAATATAAGCGAATTATTTTTCCTCAAGATTTTGTAAATTGAATAAAAGCAAATTTTGGACAATATAATTCTATTTGGATTGATTTATTTTTAGTGCTTTCTTATATTCTTAAAATTTAATCTGAAAAGGAAATTTTTTTTTAAAATGTCACTGTCCGTTTCATGAAAGATAAGTTTAAAAGCAAAGAAAACTTAAGACACAATATCATTTGTTTTATTAACTATAACAATACGGATGCAAATAAGGTAAAAATGAACTTAATTTACTGCATATAAAAAGGTACCAAAATTTCGTAGATTTAATAAACTGTTCAACTCTCTTTCATTTATTTCTGAAATATCTGTAAGTATTCTAAAAATATTCAGTTTTTTTTATTTCTTTATAAGAGACGCAAAAAAAGAATTCACTTGAAAACAAAAAAAAAAAAAAAAAAAATTTACTGCAATAGTTAAATGTTTTTCTAAATGAGTGTCCCGATCAAATAACTCGACCGACGCTCGTACGAACGCTCTATTACCAGTCAAGTAACAGTGACAGCCTGTGGGCGGCTCACTGCTACCCGACTATCATTAGAGCGTGCGTCCGAGCGTCGGTCGAGTTATTTGATCGGGACACTCAAATGAACAAAATTTATAGTTATTAATATAATGACTCTTTTAGCTTCCATTGGCAATAAATCTCTTTAATTATTAAATAAAGTACAACGTTATTTTTTTATTATTCTAATGCGAAAAATATACTGTAATATTGTATAATTTTATACTGATTTTAAAGAAATACCAAATAAAAATGGCCAGTATCAAAATGTCGTTGATTCTCTTGGCAACAATTTTAATGTACGTGACTCCTACTATCAATGCCCAATGTGCAGCAGATGGAACTCCATGTCAACCTGATGGAAGTACAAATTGTTGTTCAGAATTTTGTTATAAACAAGAAGGATGGGATATTGGATATTGCAGAGCTCGAACAGTTCCATGTGAACCAGACAGAACTCCATGTCAACCTAATGGAAGAACAAATTGTTGTACAGGATTTTGTTATAAACAAGAAGGATGGACTATAGGATATTGCAGAGCACGATAAGCAAACATTACTAAATGTTAATTAATGAAGAAGTAAAATCTTCTTTTCTTAAAAGCCAAAATATTTAATAAAAAGATGTTGATAAATGTTTCGCCTAATGGTTTTTTTTAAATATTTCATTAATACTTTAATGACGCGTTTCGACACAGATTTCTGTGTCCTTGTCAATGTCTGTAAAATTAGATTACATAAATAAAAGTTATATTACAACATTATTTTATGTGTTGTTTGTTAATATTTTAGAAATTTCTAAAAATTACGTACACTGAGAAAAATAATAATGTAATGTTAATAAAATAATTTGGTGGAGCACTTTTAGTTAAGATTACAAAAACTTAGTTGACATAACATTAACGAAAGAAGCAATCAATCGAGAAATTTAGTTGGCTGTACCAAAAATTTCGTTCAAGCTTTTGCGTCTGTTAACTGAATAATTTGGTTCTCCAAACCAAACCGTCTGAATGCTCAATTGCGCATGCGCTGTTCTCGTAAACGGATGTCATACGTTAACCATGCTTCGCTCTTCGTGTCGTCCAGTTTTATTCAAGTGTTTTCGGGATTTTTATGTGTTTCAGAAATTGGGTAAAAAAGTGTGTGTAGTGATGCATATCGAACAATATGATCAAGAAATGGATAAATGTGGGAAATATGTTCGTTCTTCATGTGAAAATCGGACCATCTCATTAGAAAATATTTGAAAATATTAATTTTCTTGATTGAAGTGATAGTTCTATCATTTAATTTACTGAGTGAAAAAATTTTATATAGGAAAATGGTCGGTATTAATTACAAAAACCGTAAGAACTCTTGATCTCTAATGTTTTCAACTGTCAAATGTCACTGTGTTTTGGTGAAAAGAAAATATGCAAATAAAATCTCGAGCACGTCAATTACGATCACGAGAATTACAACAAAAAATTCTTTATTCTCATATTTTATAACATGGCTGTCGAGAGAATAAAGCTTGTTAAAAGAACGGAAGTTTTTCTCCAGCCTGTATACTTTATGAAAATAATTTACACTCACATTGTCACTAGGATTCTTAGTGTAGTGGTCAGCGTTCTTGATTTGCGTTGCGTAGTCTGAGGGTTCGATCCCCAGCAGTGTTAGGTTTTTCCGCAATAGAAATTAATTTAAGTAGACATAGGGTGGTAGGTAATATAAAGCGAAAAGAATAAAAGAGGATAACAAAAGTGATAAAATTAAGTGAAAAATAAAAAATATAAGTGTGAGCCAAAAAATAATTTGGTTGAGAAAAGAAAAAAATTTTTTTCATTTAACTAAATTTTTTGTTTGCTTAAAAACAATAAGTTAGTTGTGCAAAACAAAAAATTTGGTAGACCAAACAAAATGATTCAACGAAAAAATTTGGTAGCCCGAACCAAACGGATTAGTTGCACATATATCAAATAAAAAATTTGGTTTGGAGAACCAAACTTCAGTAGTAGATGATACCAAACAGTTTCCTCAGTGTACAAATTTAAAAAATCAAAATACATTTTTTATTGATATTTTAAATATAAAACATTGTCAACAACATCAAAATAAGTTGACAATTTTTACAATGCAGAAATTGTCATCTTATTTATTTTAAAACTATTATCATAACAAAAAAATTTTTAAATTAAAACAACCTCTAAGAAAATTAAATAATCAGATACATCTTATATTATACCAAATAATATACTTTAAATCTTAATTGAAAAAAATATTACCTCATTACACCGTCCGACACAATTTTTGACCTACAAAAAAATTTAACATTTTCGGAAACTAGAATCCAAAAAAAAGACCCGTGTCTGACCGTTTTGCTAGATCAAGTCGTTTGTGGTTTTTAGGGGTGAAAACAACCCCTAAATGAAAAGTGACAAGATATCTTTTAAAAATTATTAATATTTTATAAAACTTGATATCTGTGGGTTTTCGGGATCACTGATTATTAATCTTATATCAGATTTTCAAAATTCAAAATGGCGGATCTAATATGGCGATCAAATTTTTAAAAAGTTATTAATTTTTTATTTTATATCCGCCATTTTGAATTTTGACAATTTAACATCAGATTCGTCATCAATGACCCAAAAAACCCCTAGATACCAAGGTTTAAAAAAATTTAATAACTTTTTAAAATTTTGACCGCCATATTGAATCCGCCATTTTGAATTTTGAAAATCTGACATCAGATTAATAATCAGCGACCCCGAAAACCCCCAGATACAAAGTTTTATAAAATATTAATAATTTTTAAAAAATATCTTGTCACTTTTTATTTAGGGGCTTTTTTGCACCCCTAAAAACCACAAATGACTTGATCTAGCAAAACGGTCAGACACGGGTATTTTTTTGCGTCCTAGTTTCCAAAAATGTTGGATTTTTTTGTGGGTCAAAAAAAAAGTTGAATTTTTCACAAAATGGCGTCGATTTGAATGAAAATATACGTTTTTTGGCCTAAATTTCGTTATTTAAAGATGTTCAGAAATTGTAAATATTACTGGATTAAAACGGCTACGTATTTCTCTAGATTTTGGGCTATACAGAAACTAATGCTTTTTGGTTTTTTTATTTTAGCTCTAATCTGGACTAAGTTATCTGGGCCACTGCAGGACCATTAATTTTTGGAGCGCTCCGCTAAATCACCTGCCAAACAGGCAATTTGAAAAAAAAAATTTTTTAATATTTTTTTAGAGTTTAATAATAGCATAATAATGTTATGTATTTGAATTTTAGTTAAAAAAAATTTCCATTCTTCAAAAGAAATTCTTGAAAACGCGTATTTTTTCATGCGATCAAAGTGGTGTAACCCCTTAAATCAAATAACAAAATTATTATTATTACACTGTGCTCGAAAAAGGTACTTTTTTGAAACAAACTGGGCATATATTGTATTAACCTAATTTGAGTACGCTGAATTCAATGGCGTTAGCCGTTTATCAAGATCGGGTCACACTGAAAGAAATGCTTTGGGGGGAACTGACAAATAAGTATGGCTGGGGTTTTGTTTTGAACTGGCGATAAAATTAGGTTATGTTACCCACTTTTCTGTTGACTTAAACATCTATATGTATGGAACGCCATTATGTATGGCTGAACTGCCTATATAATATATGTCAGTATCCAAATAGCTGTTTACCAATTCATTATGGGAAAACTAGAAATAATTCTAGCTGTACCGACGAATTATTTCTTTCAGTGCAAATTTTCAAAGTATTCGACATTTTGTTTTTTTGGTCCATTATCAAAATATAACATTTTTACTAATCAAAAAACATAAAATTGACTTGAGACTCTTTACTCAGAGGTTTTTGGGGTCGCTGATCAATATGGCGGATCCAATATGGCGGACTTTTTTTTTAAATCGTTCGGATTCGCTTGAAACTCTCTACTCGGGGATTTTCAGAGTCGCTAATTTCGAATCCAGTGCCAGTTTTTCAAAATTTTAAATGGCGGATCCACTATGGCAAAAGCTTAATGAAGCAATGAAATCCGAAAAATTTTTTGAAAAAAGTCTGCCATATTGGATATGAAATTTTTCATTTTGAAAAACTGACACTGGATTCAAAATTAGAGACCCTGAAAACCCCCTAGTAGAGATTTTCAAGTGAATCCGAACGATAAAAAAAAGTTTGCCATATTGGGTCTGCCATTTTGAATTTTGAAAAACTGACACCGAATTCGTAATCAGCGACCCCAAAAACCCCCGAATAATAGCATGATTAATCACCCACACAGCACCCAAAATTTCCTGAAACTTGACAAAACCTCACACGCCAAGGTTAGGAAACTTCAGTGGCAAGGTTCATACAAGTTTGTGTCGATGTTTAACTGTTTAATATTCACGTGCAATGTTCAGTCAATGTTGTGTCAATATTCACCTATACTTATTATATTAGTAAATGAAATTTTTATAACTAGGCGAAAATGTAATTTCAATATTGACACAACATTGACTGAACATTGCACGTGAATATTTATGTGTAATATTTCCTCAAAGTTTCGTGTGAATATTCTTTTCATGTGGACATTTAAACATCGACACAAACTTGTATGAACCTTGCCACTAAAGTTTCCTAACCTCGCCATGTGAGGTTCTGTCAAGTTTCAGGGAATTTTGGTTGCTGTGTGGGCAATGAATAAAATTAGTTGATAACTATTATGTACTCACGATCAAATACTTCTATTAATTCTTCAAGTTTATTGTAAAATCCACAAAATAATCCAAAACTTTTCGCACACATACACATACTTTTCGCGGTTACATGAAATACGATGACGCGTTATGGCGACTGCAGCACACTTTACAAGTATTTATTCTTACCTTGCTTAGAAGATTTCAACTTTCAAACGTCTGCGGCAACACGGTATTCCGCGCGTCAAAGTTTTGAGGTTACATTATACAAAAGCGCGCGTTATTTAAAAAAAACATACAATACTTGAAATAATAAAAGTATATAAATAAGATAAATTATGGAAAATAATGTAATATTATATTTAATTATTAAATTATTATATTATATTAATACTTAATTAATATTAATATTACAATTTTTTAATACTATAATAATAATAATAATAATATAAGCAGTGTTGCCAGACTTTCTAATTTACAAAGTGAATCAAATCAGAAAAAAGGGTTATTCTTTTGACTAGTTCAGTCAAGCTTAAGAAGAAAGAACTTCCTTAAAGGAAGGATAAAAATATAATTTAGAATATTTTTTAAGAATATAATACACTTAAAATTAAAATACTTTTTTTTCAGTGTTGCGTATATGATATTAACCCCTTTTAAGTAATATAAATATAACAATTATGAAAAACAATTAAAAATCACGAAAAAAAATTTTTTTTCAATTTAATACACTTTAGGTGTATAAGGGTTTTCGAGGGTGTTAAATTCGAATATGACCTTCAAATTAAAAAATTCAAATTGGCTGACGTAATTTTTAAAATTTTTGACGGATTTTAATAAAACTTGGTATAAGGTGGTTTTCGAGGGTGCTAAATTTGAATTTGACCTACAAATTAAAAAATTCAAAATGGCGGATCCAAAATGGCGGACATAATTTCAAAAAATATAAAAATTATTTTTACTAGGCGAATCTTTCAGTGCAATATTGCCTCAATATTGTCTCAAGCTTGCGATGCAATTTTAGACTAAACTGAAAATTGCAATTTAATCTTGTCCGAAGCATACCATGTAATATTGCCTCAGACTTGCGTTGCAATATTGCCTCAATATTACGACGTAATGCCATCTCAAGATTGCCATGCAAGGTTGATGTGAGATGGAATTTTTCAATCTTGTAAGAGGCTTACTCCAATATTGCAGTGTTAATATTCCATATCTTATCATGTAATACAGTGAGAAGGTCCATGCAAGAAGTTGTGCTATTAGGGCATAGACATAAAATTAAGTTCTTTTTCAAAGTTTTTGCTGGTAAAAGTAATTTTTTCATAGAGAAAAATTATAATCATAATTATTGTAAAATATATATGTATATAATTTATTACAGACAAAATTGCTTACAGTGTTAGTTTGAATATAAAATAAAAACGATGCTCACATGAAAAATAATAAATTAAGGACGTAGTTTGAATAAAATGAAATAATAATAATAATAATAATAATAATAGTAATAAAATAAAAATACGAGTAATTGTAATAATTAATATAAACACACATCACATATAAAAGGATTAAAATACGCAGATATTTTCAGCGATATAATAAACCGTATACAAATTGATAAACATAAAAACTATTACAATCAGGATTAACAAATTCGAAATGTAAAACAATTTTTTTTTTATCACAAAATGATTTATAATCATAATTCGCTGAAATAAATATTTACTTCAATTCTACAATTTGGAGGAAACAAAACAAAATTTCACACTATTTATTACGTTTTGATATTATCGTTATTTTTTTTCTAATAAATCTACATAAAAAAAACATATTTTGTGGTCAAGTGCAAAGTTATATATAATTTTTTTTATATATATATAGATAGCTAAAATAATTCTATTCTATAATAAATAAAGTTAATATGTAGCTACTTTCACGTATGTGCATTATAGGAAACGATACATATTTCGAAATCATTGACAATTGATTTTTATAAAATAGATTTTTTTATCTAAACTTTTTGATTATGATTTTGAATCATAAAAAAAAATTGAAATACTTTTTAGAAAGTTTCATTATTATAGAAAAATGTGTTTAATTAAAAAAAAAACATTTATAAAAAATTGTAAATTAAAATTTTTTATTTTATCGAAAAAAAATTCTTTATATCAAGTCTATTTATTGGTCTCTTTTTTTTTATTAAAATTTTAAGTGAACCGCTTTTTTGGCACATCGTGATTGTCTAATGGTCAATTGGAGGTACGATTATAATAATTATAGAACAATAAATTAAGAAAAATTATAGGCGTACAAATTCTAAAGAATTACTTTGTTATTAAATTTCATAAATAAATAAAAAAAATCCAAACGAGCGTTATTTCTGTTCATAGTTATCTTAATGCCCTCGAAATGACGCTTGTCCGAATTTTATTACCAATAACATTTTAATCCTTTAGAAAATATTATTTCTACGCAAATACCTCAAATTGTAAAAGTGGGCAGGAATTTTCCACAATTTCCCAATTTTGTTAGGCATTATTTTTGTCATAATCCAAACAAAATACTTGAGAAAATTTCAAAAATTCCCCACCATGGAATACAGTCTTTTTACCTACTACCAGCAAATGTATAACAATTTTGAATTATTTTGTACAAAATTTACATAACGAATTTAGAAAAAAAAAATGTTTTTCTCCTAGAATACTTTCGAGGTTTTTTTTAAAAAAAAATTTTTTGTCAATTTTTCTGCTCATAGAAAATGTTGACAATTTTTTGATTTAAATAATTTTTAAAAAATTTTGTTAGTCGCTTCGAGAAATTAATTTTTTTTTCTTCATATTTTACGCGAATAGTTTAAAAAAAAACTCGATTGAAAAACGACAGAAAAATAAGTCGTGACTTGTCGCTTTAGTTTATAATGTTGATATGATCGATCTTTTCTTTTTTTTTTTTTTTTTTTTAATCAAGTTGCTTCAGAGTGGGTCAAAACAACTTTTTAGACGATATTAGAATCAGTCAGGCGAATCTAATACAAATAATTTTTTGGCTCCTCAATTGGCTGACCGCAAACTCCAAGATATTTCTTTGTTACATGATTTCTAGTGCGACAAGTTTCAATTTCAAGTAAACATTCATTGCTGTAGGTTTTGTCGTCTGTTCCGCAAACAGGATCATAAAACGATGGACAAATCTTTTGACATCCTCTAAACATGAAGCCTTGCAGGCATCTCTGTATTGGCACCACATACACGTGTTTCCTGATAAAGAAAAAAATAAAATTTTTTTAAAATTTATTTTTTAAATTCGTATTTGTTTTTTAATTCAAGGAGATTTTAACGTAAAGAGAATTAACATTAATATTGTGACTTGGACAGTTAAAAGGGACCTTATATCCGAAATCAAGTTTTCGAAAAAAAACGACTTCAAAGTTAACAAGTTGAAAATGATGCTCCTGCACGTTGGAATGGCTTGAAACTTTTTTATTCGGAGGTTTTTATGGTCGCTGATTACGAATCTGCCATTAGATTTTCAAAATTCAAAATGGCGGATCCAATATGGCACCCAAAAATTGAAACAATCATATGGATTCGCTTCAAACATATTGTAAGTTTCACACAAATTTGAATGAAACTTGTTACTCGAAGATTTTTGAGGTTGCTGATCACGAATTTGACATCAGATTTTTAAAATTCAAAATGGCGGATCCAATATGGCGGACAAAATTTAAAAATTGATCGGATTTGCTTGAAACTCATTACTTGGAGGTTTTTGAGATCGCTGATTCCGAATTTGCCATCAGATTTCAAAAATACAAAATGGCGGATCCAATATGGCGGAAAAAATTTAAAAATTAATCGGATTTGCATAAAACTCGTTTAAAAATCTGATGTCAAATTCGTAATCAGCGACCTCAAAAATACACCGAGTAACAAGTTTTAAGCAAGTCCAATTAATTTTTAATTTTGTCATCTGCCAAATTGGATCCTACATTTAAAATTTTAAAAATCTAATGACAGATTCGTCATCAGCGACGTCAAAAACCCCTAAGTAACGTGTTTCAAGCAAATCCGAACAATTTTTAAATTTTTTATCACCATATTGGATCCGCCATTTTGAATTTTAAAAATCTGATATCAAATTCGTAATCAGCGACCTCAAAAACCCCCCGAGTAAAAAGTTTTAAGCAAATTTAACTAATTTTTAATTTTGTCATCCGCCATATTGGATCCGCCATTTTGAATTTTAAAAATCTAATGCCAGATTCTAACCATTTTCATTCTAACCATCTTTGAAGCGCATTTGTGAAAAGACTAATGAAGCTGGAGATTCGCGGTTTGTTGCATTGAAAAAAGCATACCTTTTTCTATAAGAATCAACAAAAAAATGTGCAGGTCACATATTTTAAAAAAATTTGGTGTATTTGTACATAAAGCTTATGGGTTAATTTCGCGGGAGAGTTAAGGGTCATGTCTCAGATTTTTCTTATTGTTTTGTTTATAAGTAGTATTTTAGGTCTTAAGGGGAGGCACCACCCTTAATTTTAACCCACTTAAATTTAAATTATTAAACGAGGTCATATTTTTTTTCTTGCAACATTTGTGTCCTAAAAATATATTAGATTGTCAAAAAAAAGAATATTTAAATTTTTGACCATTTTAGCCCCCACAGCACCGAAACTTTTCTAAAGATTTCCTAAAGATTTATTTGAAATGTTCGAAATATTTAATTGCAATGTTTAATGAAAATTGTGTAAAGATTTAAATGTCCCACTTGAATAAATGTTTAGCGCGAAACTTTCCTGAACATTTAAATGAAATTTTCGCCTAATTATAATTAATTTTGGTGCTGTGGAGGAGAATTTTTTTTTTTTTTATTAAGATACATATTTAATAGGAGGGTTCAATGATGTTTTAACTAATTTTTTTTCATTTTTTAAAAAAATTAGAATTTTGATAAATCCATGCAAGAAATTCTTAAGAAGGTTCAACGCATTAACATAACCTCAAACTAAAAAGTAGTTTTTAACAGAACTAAAAATATAATTAATAAACATTTTGTATTTTTTCTTAAAAGTTATTAAACAATTGTAATTTTTATGCAATTCTTACAAACAATAGCTTATTTTGCTCTTTAAAAGATTTCCTACAATTATGTTTGTTGAATTTTATCAAAAATATTTTGTTCAAAAGTTGATAAACAAATAAAATTTTTTAAACAAATCATTATTTAACAAAAACACAAAATCAGAATTGTAGAGAATCTTTTAAAAAGAAAAATGAGCCATTGTTTATAAAAATTAGACAAAAATTAGAATTGTTCACTAACTTTTAAGAAAAAATACAAAATGTTTATTAAATATTATTTAACAACAAATTTTAACTCAAAATAATTTTTTTCCAAAATTATACAATTGCATCTATCGAATTTGGGTGTAATAAATTTTAAAAATATATTTTTAGTTCTGTTAAAAACTACTTTTTAGTTTGAGGTTATGTTAATGAGTTGAACTTCCTTAATAATCATTAAAAAAGCGTAGAAAAAAATGGCGATGAAAAATAGTCAAAATTGTAAAAGAAAATAGATATTTAAAATATTAATTTTTTTAAGAATTTAATTTCTAAAATGGTCAAAAATTAAAATTTCAATTTTTTGACTATCCTGTATCGGACTCAAAATAATGGTGGTGACTTCTCTTGAATAATTGTACCAAATATGAATTATATATTGTTATTATATTTCAAGATATTTACATTGCAAATTTCTTGACATTTTTTTTTTACTTGATTACAACTCTTTAATTTAAAAAAAATTGCTAACCAAGTTCCGAACCTTTTTTACGTCAAAAACAAAATAAATTTTAGTAAAAAAAAAATTTTTTTAAATATTAATTTTTTAGATAATTTATTTATAAATTAATGTTTATTTTTAATATTTAAATATGGGCGCAATCAAATTTTGTTCTAAAAAAAAATATTTTTACAAACTTTGGGATTTCATTAAAAAACCTTGAAATTTTCAAGTTGGCATCTGTTTTTATTTTAAGCAATAAATTGTCTTAAAACATTGCATAGTGGTACAAAATTTGGTTCAAATTAACTTTCAGACCACAATTATGAACTAAATTCAAAAATTCTTGTTTCTTCTAACTCACAACTATATTATTCTCAACAGATTTGTGAGAGAAGATTTTGTAATTTTTATTTTAAAAATTTTTAATGTTAATGCAAACTTTAAAAAAATTATTTTCGATAAAATTTCTTATTTTTTTCAAACACTTTTTACAAATAAGTACGAACTGTATATGGTAATTTCTAATCAGAAATTTATCAAATTTTTGTTATTAAATTTTTTTTTGCAATTAACTTTATAATTTTTATAAACAAATTTTATACACTATTACAATTTGCAGCTATTTCTAGGCAAAAAAAATTTTTTTCTTTGTAAATTTCCTTTGAATTTTTTCGCTTAAATTTACTTTTTACATTTAGATTTATTTCTTCATTCTACACTTTTCAAGTTATACAATATAATTTTATGCAGGGTGATTTTTATGTTCCGGACCCCAAAAAAAATTTTTTTATTCTTATTTTTTTCATTTTTAAACAAAAAAAAGTGAACTTAAAAAAAAATTTTAGGGGGTCCAGAATATAAAAATCACCTAGTATAAACAAATAGACTGTACTGAAATTTTTCGACCGAAATTAATCGACTTTACAAAGAAGAAAAATTTGTAATTTGTATAGAAATTAATTATGAGTTAGAAGAAACAAGAAATTTGGAATTTGGTTCACAATTTTGGTCTAAAAGTTACTTTGTGTTAGAATGTTAAATTAAAATATTAAATATTTCAAAAGAAAAATAATGAGACAAGGGGGACATAAAAACAATAGAGTCGACTGGAAGTCTAATCATAATAAACCATTTATGACACCCGATTGTATAAGTAGTCCTTCTGTACCTGAATTTAATTGAATTAAACCATCTTACTGTTATTATTTTTCCATCTAAATAATAATATTTTAAATTAAAATAAGTTTTTACACTTAAAAATTGTTATAAACAATTACATAACAATTGCATTTTAAAGCTATATATTTGTGGTCAAATAAAAATAATTTTATTAAGTAAATTTTTGGTTAGAAATTAATCGAATTTTTAATCTGTTCAGAATTTAATTCTGATTTAGAAGAATCAAACATTTTCGAATTTGGTTTATAATTATTGTCTTAAAGTTAATTTGCGTTAGAATATTAAATTAAAATATTAAATATTTTAAAAGAAAAATGAGGAGAGAAAGGGACATAAAAACAATAAAGTCGACTAAAAGTCTAATCATAATAAACCATTTATGACACCCTATTGTATTAGTTGTCATTCTATACCTGAATATTAAAATTAAATCAAAATATTACTTGAAATATTTGTTTATGTTTCGTTACGTACTACCGCCATCAGATGGCAGAAGCAATCAGGGAGCACAAAGTCTCAGCTATTATTATATTAGAAACAGCAATTTTAATATTAAAAATTAATAAATTACATTAAACATAAATTATTTCTAAATTTAATAAATGTAAATTTTTTGTAAAAGTAGAGCAGATTAAAAATTCAATTAATTTCTGATCTAAAATTCCGATATAGTTTATTTACTTATATAAATTATTTAAAAATATAAAGAAATTTATCGCAAAACAAATGTTTAATAAAAAGCGAAACTTAAGCGCAAAAATCCCAAGCAAAATTACAAAAAAATTACAAATTTTTTTGCTCACAATTAGCCGTAAATTGTAATTGTTTATAAAATTTATTTATAACTTTAAAAAAAATATTTTTTTCATAATGGTGGCTTAGATGTAACATCAATTATAAAAATTCGATTCATTTCTGATCAAAATGGTCGTACTATATATTTTTGTTCATAATAATTGTTTTAAAAAATAAGAAAATTTATTGAAAAACAACTAAACACAAAAACAAACAAACACTAAAAAAAAAAGGTTCAATCGCAATAATTAAAAGCAAATTTATTTAATAATTATAATAAAAATTATTATTATTAAAAATCACCCTGTATAACTTGTTTAAAACAATTTTGAAGAATACAAATTTTTTTTTTTTGTAGTCTAAAATTTAATTTGTATTAGAATATTAAATATTCCAAAAGAAAAATAATGAGAAATACAGACATAAAAACAATAGAGTCGACGGAAGCCTAGTCATAATAAACCATTTATGACACCCCATTGTATTAATTGTCCTTCTATACCTGAATATATTGAGATTTTAATAGTAATATTACTTGAAATATTTTTTTATCTTTCGTTACGTTCTGTCGCCGTCAGGTGGCAGAAGCAATCAGGGAGCACAAAGCCGCTGCTATTAATATATTAAAAACAGCAAATTTAATATTAAAAATTAATAAATTATATTAAACATGAATTATTTCTAAAACTTATATAAATATTGTCCAAATAAAAGCTGCTAAATTTAATAAATGAAAATTTTTTGTAGAAGCAGAGCAGATTAAAAATTGAATTAATTTTTTTACAAAAAATTGAGTATTTGATTATATAAATTGTTTAAAAATATAAGAAAATTTATCACAAAACAATTGTTTAATAAAAAAGGAAAGTTAAGCACAAAAATCCCAAGCTTTATTAAAAAAAACACAATTTTTTTGCTCACAATTAGTCATAAATTGTAATTGTTTATAAAATTTGTTAAAAATAAAAGATAAAGTTAATTGCAACAAACTTTATTCATAATTACGGCTTAGGTTTAATATTAATTCTAAAAAAACTTCGATTAATTTCTGATCAAAATGACCGTACTGTATATTTTTGTTTATAAAAATTGTTTTAAAAAATAAGAAAATTTATTGAAAGACAACTTTTTTAAAATAATGATTCAATCGCAGTAATTAAATGCAAATTTATTCAAAAAAATTTTTTTTTATTTGACTACAAACATCCTTAAACGACAATTGTTATACAGGGAATTTTTATGTTTCGGACCCCTTAAAAAATTTTTTTAATCTCATTTTTCGTTTTTTAAACAAAAGAAAGTAGAATTAAAAAAAAATTTAGGTGGTCCGGAACATAAAAATCACCCTGTATAATTTGTTTAAAACAATTTTGAAGGGTACAAATTTTGTTTTTGTAGTCTAAAATTTAATTTGTGTTAAAATATTAAATATTCCAAAAGAAAAATAATGAAAAAAGGAGACATAAAAACAATAGAGTCGACTGGAAAGCTAGTCATAATAAACCATTTATGACACCCCATTGTATTAGTTGTCCTTCTGTACCTGAATATTGAAATTATATACCATTATTATTTGAGTTTAAGTTTTGTTACTTTCTGCCGCCGTCAGATGGCAGAAGCATGCAGGGAGCACAAAGTAGCAGCTATTATAATATTAATATATTTTTCGTTTTGAAATTACATTTTTGTATGGATTTGCAAAATCTTTCGGATTTAGAAAATTTATAAGATAAAGATTCTTGGTGATTTGGCCGATTTTGTAAAAAGTATCTATGTTTCGAGAAAAAAGTATTTTATAATCAATGTTTATCATTTTCACATTTAATGCCGTTTTTAGGATTATTATTTATTATTATTTTTTACAACTAATGTTAAATACAAACCGCTAAAATATTATTTTTATGAATAAAATTTTTTAGCAATTAACTTTACCATTTTTTATACAAAAATTTTATAAACAATTACGCTTTACGGCTATTTATGGACAAAAAAATTTGTTTTTTTTTTTGTAAATTTGCTTGAGATTTTTACGCGTAAGTTTCATTACTCGCGTAATTTCTCTAATTTTAATTTTTGAAAATGGTAATAAAAATAATTGGAGCCTGAAAAAAATATATTTCTAAACCATTTTTTTTATGCTAAAGAAATAGAAAATATTTTATCTTATAGTTTATGAATTTTTTTTGAAATCAGATAAATTGAAATTTTCTTTTCCAAAGAATAATTGAAAATCATCATTATCATCAGAGTTTCTTATATAATAGTAAACAAATGTTTCAAATTACCCGCAATTGTCCCTTTTCATCTCACATTCATTGCGGTACAATTTATTGTCGGAACCGCAAGCAAACTGTCGTTCCCCGTTGCAGATTTGGTTACAAAGAGCAGTGGTGCGGCAATGTTGAGCAGGAACTTGAACCACTCTTTGACCACAAGTCTCACGCTGTAGATGACATAAGGATCTAGACAACAACAAAAAATAATATTTGTCTTTGACACTTTAAAATAACTCTATATACTATTAATAAAATAAACCTATGGGAAAAATTAAATAATTTTTTTTTTATCGTCAACAAAAATTAATTATCTACTTTTCTTTCTTTCTTTTTGAAAAAAATAAATTTTTTAAACATTTTTTTAATGCAAAAAAAATTGCTTTTCTGTGATAATAAAACGTTTTCTTTAATAAAGAAAAAAAAACTGCTACAATCTGTATAGAAATAATTTTCAAAGTCCAATCAAGATTATGACAAGGAAATATTGCAAACTGGTTCTACCAAATATACTGTTGAAGTAAAAGGAATATTACATCGATAAAAGTATTAATAATTTAAGTTTTAACTTGAGATTACAAACAGGTTAATAAATCATCAAGACTGTTATAAAAGGAATCCCAGATTATCATTTTTTTTTTCCTTTTTTGTAAAGTCTATTTGCTTTTCAACACTGTTAAACCAGTTTCAATTTTTCAAGTGTTATCACTTTCAAAGAAAATAAAAAGATTTTGCTACGAAAAAATAAAAAATAATGAAAGAAAGAAAAATTTCATTTCCCTGTAATAGAGAATTACAGAGTATATATATGTCTTTATAATATACATATTATATTTATTATAAAGCTATTCAAGAGAATAAAGGGGGGATGGGGCTTTAGCTCCAAAGATAGATAATAAAGAATCTAAATGACGCTTTTAGTCACCGATAAACATTTCCATCGCTTCCACAAACTGGTTCTTCTGACACATTATTGCAATCTTCAGGGCACTGTTCTGTTTCTTTCAAGGTCGTACATTGTCCAACATGCGCCAATTGAATTCCTTTTCTGAAATTAGATTTTTATTTCAATTTATTTATATTCTCCATATTTCAAGTGACGCATTACGAAAACAGGAAAATACAAAAAAAAAAATTATCAAAAAAGAATTTCTTTATATTTTTGAAAAGTAATGAAAGTTATGAGCAAAATACAGAAATAATTCTTTTAATCTGAATCAGTGAAAATTTTCACTGATTGCAATTCAGTGATTCACTTTTCATTGATTTTCAGTGAGGGTAGATTACGTAATTCCATTTTCGCTTCCACTTTCACTGATTCTAATTTTTAATTACTTTTTCACTTTCCCTATCACTTATGCCTCGACTATTATATTATACGACTTTTTCCGATCTTTTTTTTTCAATAAAATGCGACTTTTTCGACTTTTCATAAATTTAAAAAAAAATTTTTTTTAATAAAATATGTTTTTTTTAGTATACAATGCAGATCTTCTTCAGATATTCTTTATTTTAATTATTTAACAAATTTTTAAATAAAATTCTTCACTAAATTAATTATTTTTAATAATTTTAATGAAATTCTTCACAAATTCAATTATCTTAAACTACTTTTATGAAATTTAATAATTGTTTATAATTTTTAAAAAAAATTAGCAAATAAAATTACCAAAAAAATTTTTAATTCAAAATCACTTGAAATTTAATTATTTACAAAAATTTCAATTATTTTTAATGATTTTGCTTCCTCTGGAGGAAGCTATGTAGTCCTTCAAATTATGAAATTATTAGAAATGCACCAAACAAATTTTTTTCTATTTATAAATGTCATATATAAGTCCCTGATCAATTGTCCGGATGTATGTATGTGTGTGTGTGTATGTGTGTGTGTGTGGATCCATTTTTTTGTGAACACGATAACTTTAATACGTTTTAACGGATTTGGCTAAAATTTAGTACGTATATTTGTCACATCAATATCTCAAAATGGACACAATGATTTTAGAAAATACCCACAAAAAAATTTTTTTTGGCATTTTTTCAAAAAAATCGATTTTAATTGAAAAAATTTATTGAAAGCAAAATTAAAGGCAATACATAGTAAAATCGTATTCCTCATATCAAGACGAATCGATTGGTATATATAAAGTTTATATTTCATTGAAATTTAAAGAATAAATTAAAAAATTCAAAATTCACAAATTCATATTTTAGTTAAAAAAGTTTTTGTGAACACGATATCGTTAATACGTTTTAACGGATTTGGGTAAAATTCGGTATGTACATTTGTCACATTAATATCTCAAAATGAACACAACAATTTTAGAAAGTACCCCCTAAAAAAAAATTTTTTTTTACTTTTTTTCAAAAAATCGATTTTAATAAAAAAATTTGTTTCAAAGCTAAAATAAAGGCAATACATATAATAATCTTATTCCTTACGTCAAAAGAAACTGATTGGTATATATATAAAGTTTAGATTTTATTTAAATTTAAAGAATAAATCTTTAAGGAAGAATTCCATTATTCTTCTGATCTTTTAAAAAATTTCACCTCGTAGAGGATGTAGAAAAAGTTTTTCATTTATATTATATTAATTACACTTAATAATTGTTTACAGTAATTAACTTAATTAATATTATAATTAGTTTTGTTATAGGGACCGTCCATATACCACGTGGACAGATATATTTTTTGAAATCATTTATCATATTTTAAAAATAATATGTATATAAATTATTAATTTATTGCTTCCTCCAAGAGGAAGCAAATCTTTTGCTTTGCGCAATGAGGAAGCAAAATGTTCATGAAATGAACATAAACTTCTTTTATAAAAAGGGACCCCCATCTTGTTTATAATTTTATTCGAAAATTCAATTATCAGAAAGCGTTTTTTAAATTAAAAACTTTTGGAATTCAATTTTTGTATATGATTTCTAATAAATTCTTAATCAACAGAAATCACTAAAAATTTCTCTTATTATAATTATTGTCTGTAATTTAACAAAATTACAAAAAAGTTTTTATAAAAATAATTTTAATTTGTTTAATTTAAAATAGAATTTTATTCAAATCAATATGTAATTAAATTAAGAATTAGTTGAATTACAATAAATTAAATTTAAATGTTTTAATTTTAATATTAAAATTAAATAGGATTTAAAAGTAAAATTAAATAATTTTTTAATTTGAATATTAATATTAAAATATGTACAAATCGCCCGTCAATTTAATCAATTATTAAATATAATTAGATTAAGTTAATTTAATTGAAAAATTAATAAAATCTTTTAAAATTTAATTACCTATTTCTAAAAATTTCAACTTTAACTCTTCCAAAATTATTATTATTTAAAAAAAAATTTAATTAAAAATCTGTATAACTTGATTAAGTATTGCCTGAAATTTTTTTTTTTTTTGACCAACAAAACTAAAAACTATGACAAAATTTTAAATTCGAATAATTTGCTAAAATCAAACTTCAAAAAATTATAAAAATAGAACTTTAATTTGTCTTATAATTAGTTCGATTCTGAAATATTCGAAATAAATTTTCTTGATAATATTTTTATAAAATTATTCGCATTACAGAATTAATTAATTTCACTTCCACTGATTCTAATTTTCACTTTCACTCACACTAATTCCTATTTTCATATTATCATTTTCACTATTACTAATTCTAATTTTACTCTGAATTCCATTTTCACTTTCACTAGTTTCTGATCAGTGAAGGTGGAAGTGAAAATTAAAAACAATTAAAGTGAAAATATGAATTGCAATTAAAATTACTGGAAGTAAAAGTGAAAATGAAAGTGAAAAAGAGAATCAGTTGAAGTAAAATTGAAAATTAGAATGATTTTAATTTTCTCTCTAAATTTGATTTCCACTTTCACTACTTTCTAATCAGTGGATGGGGAAGTGAAAATAAGAGTCAAAATTAGAATCAGTTTAAGTGAAAATTAGAATTAGTGAAAGTGAAAGTGAAAATATAAGTAAAAATTGTAATCACTGGAACCAAAAATGAAATTACATAATCTACCTCGTGTAATCAATAACCACCCTATTTTTTACATTACTATATAAAATCGCGAAAAACGAAATTCTTTTTTACATCACTTATGGGTTTTTAATAGTAAAAAATAAATTATTAAAATCATTTATTTGCTAAAAAAAAAAATCTATTTATATGCAAAAAATTTTTCATCACTTTTTCAAGCGTCAACTTCGAAAATTTAGTATATTTCAGTAAATTAAGATAAAAAAAATTAACTCTCTTGCAAATAAACGTACAAATCTAAAGACAAACCGCAAATTATGTAAAATAAAATTCTGATAACGAAAAAATAAATTTTTTTTCTAAATTTTCGCAAAGAATTAAATGCATAATAATATTTTTCAAAGAAAAACTTACAGACAAGATGCAACGTTAAGAAGACACTGATTTGAGTAGGTGTTTGCGTCGCTTCCGCAAACCGGATCTACTTCATTCGAACATCGTGATTGTTGCTTCATGCACTTTGTAACACGATTTTTACACTTATCGAAATCAACAACGCTCACTTTTCTTCTAGCTTGCCTGTTGAATATAAAAAAGAAATTTTACACCATTTGAAAGGTGGAAATTTAAAGCTTTCATTTTTATGAGTAAAAATAAATGATTTTACACTGAAAAATTGTTTACTTTTTGAAAATTTTAATTGGAAACAAATGCATTTGATACAATATTTTAATAATTTTCTTTTTTCTTCAAGCAAAATAATAATACAAAATTTTACGAAGCTAATTTTTGAAGAAATAATTTTATAAAATGAAAAATTCTATAATTCTTTGTCTAAAAAATATTTCTTGTAGTTTTCATTAATCAACAAATAATAAAAAAAATATTTTTTAGGCAAAAAATTATAAAATTTTTCTTTAATTTAATAATTTAAAAATTATTTCTTTAAAAATCGTTTATCATAAACGTTGCGTACTTCAGCTTCTTAAATTTTCACGCACTATAAATAAAATGGAAAAACAATTTTAGATTTTATTCATAATTATTGTTTACTAAATTAATAAAGTAAATAAACAACTTTTTTAAAGTTAGTAATATTAAATTAAAAATTATCTTTTTCGTTATTTTATTGAATTTTATTTTTAGAAAAAAAGGCACTTAGAAGTTATATATACAGATTGATAAATGAAATCCGACTTACCCGCAATTAAGCATCTGCATTTCACATTCGTTTCGATAGATAAGACCGTCTGATCCGCAAACAGACACTTCTGCTTCATTTTTACAATCGATAGGACAAGCTGTTGCTGCACTTCCTGAAGTTCTTTCCCGAGACACACAGAAAGACATAGGTACTTCGAATACATGTTTTCTGTGAACATTTTGTTGAATAATTATTTTTTTGCCAGAAAAAATATGATGACTGATGAATTTTCATAAAATTTATTTAAAATTCTATAATAATTCTTAATTTACTGCATAATTATTATTGAACAAAAAATTTGTTTCGCATAATTGTCATTTGATAACATTTCTATTTTTTAGAGTATTCAAAATGTTTAAAATTTAATTTGTCTAAAATTGCAAATGAGAAAAGGTACATATGAACCGACCGCCGGAAAGACGGCATATGTCGATTTAAGACATTTTGAGATATGTTATTCATTTGTAAGTTATAATTTAAGGCATTATTATCGAAAATTTTTTTCTTTTACAAAGGTTTACTATCGATCACTTAATTTTGTCACATATTTTCATAATCACTACCACAATTTATTTCTGTAATTCATTTTTTTCATTTTTCACAAATATATCCGGATCACAGAAAATTAAAAGGCATTAAAATAAGTTGCAACGCTTATTATTTTAATCCAATTTTGCTTATTTTAATACCAAAATGGATTAAAATAAGCAAAATTGGATTAAAATAATAAGCGTTGCAGCTTATTTTAATGCCTTTTAATTTTCTGTGATGATATTGCCTAAATATGTATTTTTAACAATTCAAAAATATTTCCTTTCGATATTTCTAGAATTTTAATGAATAATCTTTTCACAATATTTCACTTAAAAATTTGTAACATATTTCATTTTTTTATTTTGCAAATATTAAAAAATAATATGTCAGTGATTTTTCATCCTCACATTTCCTGAACATTTCGCTGAAATTTTTAGTACATTCGGAACTGCAATATTTCTTATAGGCGGACATTTCATTGCTTGCATCAAAATTTCATGGACCTTTCATTGAAATATTTCGAATCTTTCAATGAAATATTCAGGACAAATTCAGGAAATTTTATGTGCTGTGTGGGATGGCTCATTTTGCTCTTTGAATGATTCTCTACAATTCTGAATTTGTATTTTTGTTAAATAATGATTTGTTTAAAAAATATAAAAAATAAAAAATTTTATTTGTTTATTAAATTTTGAACAAAATATTTTTAATAAAATTCAATAAACAGAATTGTAGAAAATCTTTTATAGAGCAAAATGAGCTATTGTTTGTAAGAATTGCATAAAAATTACAATTGTTTATTAACTTTTTTAAAAAAATACAAAATGTTTATTAATTATTATTTAACAACAAATTTTAACTCAAAATAATTAAAAAATTTTTACTAAAGTTTAAGTAAAAAGTAACCAAAAATTAGTGAAAATTCACCTCCCTGATGTTGGCTTCGACGCTCAGCGCCGAAAATTGTTTTTCATAGAATCAAAAATTTCAAATTATTTTTTTTTTTAATTTTTCAATCCAAATAATACCTTGAAAAATACTTTTCAAGGCATTGTGTGGACCCAAAACCGTTTAAAAAAAAAGGTTTTGATATTTTTGTTCAAATGAAAAATAATTTTCAATGCTGAGCGTCGATGCCAACTTCATGGAGGTGAAAATTCAAACTAATTTAAATTAGTGGCTCACATATCACTAATTCATATTTAGAGAGTATCTGGTCAAAAAAAAATTTCTCTGCTGTAACTAAATCAAAAAAAGTTTCACAAGAATTATATACAGAAAAAAGTAATATTCGCAAAAAAAGTGAGAACAAAAGGGTGAAACATCTGGACTAATGAAGGGTTCTAATCCCATTCTCATCATAGTTCATGAATAACTAAGTAAATCAAGGAATAATGGATTCAAAGAGGGAGCTGAAGTGATTTGTTGACAAGTTTGAAGAGAGTTTTATACCGAAGGGTGTAAGTGTTTGAAATATTAAAGAGGATCTAAATGTGACGCTTCACGATGAAAGGGACCTTAGCTGCAAAAAAATTTTAGGTTATGTTTAGTGACAATTTTAACTTGATTAAACGTTCATTTTGAATTATATGTAAAATCAAAATCAGTTTTTATTGAATAATTTTGGTCTAATAAAGATTTAAACATCAGTGGTTTGTATTAACCCAACCAAAAATTTCAGTATTATACCAGAGTTGACTACTGGCACAGTACTGGTTCAGTATTGGCTGCCGAGGGCTGGACAGTCTGTACTGAACCAGTACTGGTATTTTCATTGTATTCGTACCGGTGCAGTACCACCCTCCCGGTACTGGCAAACCAGTACTGAGCCGATATTGAGCCAGTACCGGCTCAAATAGATTTTTTTTTTTTGATTAATACTAGTTTACAAAAAGTTCTAGAGTGAACCCGATGAATCTTTTTGTTTAAATATTTTGTTCATCAAAATTTTTTCAACTTGATTTTATTTTTCAAAATTAAAATGCACTTTTTTTTTGCTTTTCTGTGGGTAAAATTATTTAAACAAAAAGTTTCCTGAGACCAAGTCTAAAACATTTTGCAAGATTTTCTTTTTGTTTTCAGATATGCAATAAGCCAAAAAAAATTTTAAACGATCAAACTAAAAATAAATAAATTTGTTTATAAAAAATTAATATTTTTTAAAATAAAATTTATAATATAAATTTAATTTAAAAAATTAAATACAATCGCAAGTAAAATTGCACAAATATTATATTATCAATAATATAAAATCTATAATTAACCTTTCTTAATAGAAATTATAAAAAATAGTTAAACCTACAAACTTATATATTTCAATGGTCAATAAAATTATTGTAATTTGTTTCTAGATGTTATTCTTCAGTTTTTTTCCAAAAGTGAATTATAAACAAAAATTTAATGTTAATTTAAAAATAATTTAGATAATTTTTTTAATAATTACCTAATTTCAGGAATTTAGTATTCATTATTTATTAAATCATTATATTTGCGATGAGTTAATTTGTAAACTAATTTTGTTTTATGTAAATTGAATTGAATTCAATGTTAATTTATTTATTTTTGATATAATAATTCATAAGTTAAAGTGAATAATAAAATAATTAAATAGTTAATTGCATAATTATATACATTATAATTATTTTATAAACATTTTTATTTTTACTGAACTGTTTTTATATTATATTATAAAAACTTTGGTTTTATAATAAACATATTTTTATATTTATTTTTTGATTTTTTAAAATAATAATTTGCCATATATATTATAAGAAGGAATGAAAATTCTTTGTGTTTTCGATTTTATATAATAAAATATTAATTAGTTAGTTGACTAATTTAATTAATATTTAATTTGTGTTGGGTTACTAAAAATTTCCCAAAGTTACGCCAACTCTGGTGCCAGTACTGCGCCAGTATTTGTCAGTACTGCGCCATTAGTAAATTTTTGATTGGGAAGAGTTGATTATGCTCTTTGTGTATTTTTATCTCTTAAAATCACATAACCTAAAATTTTTTGCAACTAAAGTTCCTTTCGCCGTGAAGCGTCACTTATAGTCATATAATAAAAAAAAAGTGAAAAAATTTATATATTTCACTTTTCTCTCTTTTTTTTAATTTTTATGTACCCAAACATTTTTTATTAATATTTATAAAAATTTTTGGGAACATAAAAATAAATAAAAAAAGAGAAAAGTGGATCTACTCAAAAAAGAACTCCAGAGGAGCGATTAAAAGTTCTGAAGTGTACTTTTCAAGTATATTCTCATATCTTACCCGCAGTTCTTTGCCCTCATTTTACAAGTGTTTGAGTAAAGAATCCCATCACTTCCACAGGCTGGTTTGGCGCCTCGCCAGCATGATTCTCGGCAATGCCTCGTTGTCTGACAATGTTTCTTATTCGTTCGTACCACGCCCTGTCTGTAATAAGATAAATCAGAGCTATAAGAAATTATAACAGAATCATTCTATTCATTTGATGGTTATTAATGACTACTCATTTTCTAGTGAGTGCGAGAGGAATTTTTTTTTCTTTTTCAAACATATACACCACGTTGACATTAATTAATTCCTCCCATTTTTTTTTTAACACTTATTGACTTCTATATCATCTTTCTCTCATCAATAAATAATAAAGATTTCTTTTTGGAGGTTAAAAAAAAATTAAATTAAAAAATTATTAATTTAGCAGAATTCTCATTCAACAAAATTTAAAGTAATTTGAATTTTACCTCCCTGAAGTTGGCGTCGACGCTCAGAGTCAAAAATTATTTTTCATGGGACCAAAAATATCAAATAATTTTTAAAATCGTTTTGGATTCAGATAATACCTTAAAAAGTATTTCTCAAGGTATTTTTGATATTTTTAAGTTTTTATTTGCACAAATTATTATTTGATAGAATTATCAAAAAGTTGAATTTCCATTTGACCGAAATTGGAAACCTCCGAACAAATAGTCAACAAAAAGATTTCGGCGCGAATTTTAAAATTCAAATCACAATTTTTTTGATAAATTTTTAAATTCGCGCCGAAATTTTTCAGTCCATTTTTTGTCGGCCATTTTCAGTTTTGGACAAATGGAAATTCGACTTTTTAAGAATTCTATATCAATTAACAATTCGTGCAAATAAAAAAACCGATAAATGAAGATTCCAGTGAATTGAATATTTTGGCATTTAAAAATTTGAATCATTTTAAATTCTATTTTATGATAATTCTGCTAAATTAATTTTCGGTAAAATTAGATTTTTTTTGTAAATAAAAAATTAGGAAACGGAAAATTCTGTTAAATAAAAATTCGGTACCTAAAAATTTTATTTAAAAAAAAAATATAATAAATTCTATGTGGTATATTATGAAGAAGATTTGATCTGTTACCCGCAGGTGAGCAGCTTCATTTGACAGGTGGATTTGTAGACATTTCCATCGCTTCCGCAAACTGGTCCATCTACAGGAGCAAATTCACAGGAAACTGGACAATTCTCCCTATGTGCTGAAATATTATTACATGGTCCAAGATGAGAGAGTTCAATTCCCACTCGACAAATTTCCACTCTCAACATGCATTTATTGAGATAAGTTCGTCCATCCGTTCCACAAACTGGATCCTGATCATTTGGACAACGATGCTCACATTTGCTACCTGTCGATCTTAGACATGCCGTTTTTTCTGTCGCCAACGTGACACCTTAAATTTTCATTAAAACAAACGAATTAATTTTATAAATTCATGTCAAATGTTCACTTAAAAATTTATCAATAATAAAAGATTAATTTTTAAATATTAAATAAATTGAAATTTATTTTTATAAATTAAACATTATTAAATAAATTAAAATTTATTAAATTAATTTAAACTTTAATAAAATGAATTAAAATTTTAAAAAATATTTTATTATTATTATTATTGCATCTTTTCCATTTCGTTCTTTCTTATTAATTAATAAAAAAAAAGAAGTTGGAGAGGCTTTCACATAAAATACTACTACAAATAAACACATGAAATTGAAGTGTATAAAAACTTGTGGCTATTTGTAGAATCTAGTCATTTTCAGTGTCATAGATTTAAGTAGATTATACTTTCTCAATTGAAAATCGTTCCATCTGCACGATTCTATAGCAAAAGTAGGCTTTCTGTCCTCCTTAATAGAAATATAAAGAGGGAAAAGTTCCACCTTGACCCTTCTGTACTTTCACCTAACCAATGTGACTTCAACTTGAAACGCCTTCTCAACGCGAGAGAATAAAGAAACAATTAAAAAAAAAACAATTTCTTTAGAAAATTTTTTAAAAAATTATTAAAAAAAAATTTGTAATTTGAAAAAAATGTTATTTTTAATTAATTAAGAGTACAGTCACATGACCAGGGTTCGGAACGTAAATTACTTGACATAATCTACGTACTTCTCCACCTGTATATTACTTGGTCATTTATGTCTTGTGTTTTCTACGTATTTTACGTCTGTTACAAACATAACCTATAAAATGTCACACTGCTTACACATTGCTAATTTATGTATGATCATTTGAATTTTTAATTTTTTAAAAAATTAATTTCAAATTTTATTTAAGTACCCACACAGTACCCAAAATTTCCTGAAACTTGACAGAGTCTCACACGGCAAGGTTAGGAAACTTCAGTGGCAAGGTTCATACAAGTTTGTGTCGATGTTTAAATGTCCACATGAAAAGAATATTTACTCGAAACTTTGAGGAAATATTACACTATAAATATTCACGTGCAATGTTCAGTCAATGTTGTGTCAAAATATTCACCTATACTCAGGCTGCAGTCCCATGGCAGCGTTTTGCGTTGCGTTTTGTCACTAGACCCTGAGTGTAAACATAGCAAACATATATCTGCATCTCTTTTACACTCATGGTCTAGTGACAAAACGCAACGCAAAACGCTGCCATGGGACTGCAGCCTTATTATATTAGTAAATGAAATTTTTATAACTAGGCGAAAATGTAATTTCAATATTGACACAACATTGACTGAACATTGCACGTGAATATTTATGTGTAATATTTCCTCAAAGTTTCGTGTGAATATTCTTTTCATGTGGACCTTTAAACATCGACACAAACTTGAATGAACCTTGCCACTGAAGTTTCCTAACCTCGCCATGTGAGGTTCTGTCAAGTTTCCGAGAATTTTAAGTGCTGTGTGAGTAGTTTAATAAAACTAAAACTAATGTTGGTACAAATGTCACTAGAATAACAAAAAACAGGGTTGGGTAGCTGGAAATTTTACCATCTAATAAAAAAAGGACAATTTTCATAATATCCTGCTTCTCAACTCTGGTCATTTAGCTAAAATTTGTTAAGGCTATTCTACAATACTTTCATTTCATCGGTAATATTGGAAACTCCCTAGAAAATAAAATTACGTAAGTTACGAAACGGCGATAAATGAAAATTTGTTTAATTTGTCCAGTGGCTTACATAGCCTAAATAAGCCACTGGACAAATTAACCAAATTTCCATTTATCGTCGTTTCGTAACTTACGTAATTTTATTTTCTAGGAATGAAAAGAAAGTATTGTAGAAAAGCCTTAACAAATTTTAGCTAAATGGCGCATTTGAAATGTTGTTAGTTACTCTGCTTAACTAGACAGTTTGAAAATTTTCTTTGTCCCCACTCGCCATTTGTCATAATTCTCGTCAACTACCGCACCCTGCTCTAGTAATAATTTAGTAACTTTCTAGTTAAAATTGAAAATTAGTATAAAGTCACTAAATTTTCACTAGAGCAGAGTGCGATAGTTGACGAGAATTATGAAAAATGTCGAGTGGGGACAATGAAAACCAACCATTAGTAGATTAGAATTCAGCCAATCAAAATTAATTCTCTAGCGGAAAGTCTTCGCAAGAGATTTTTTTTTTTTGATTGGTCAACTTATGATCCGCTAATCCACTAATCTGCTCAATGTGATTGTACCCTTAACATATTTTTTTTTCTAAGCGACAAAAACAAATGAACAAGGCTTAAGTCGAAAACTCTAGTAATAAATTACTAGAGTGACGGTTGGTTTCCCTGGTCCCCACTCGCCATTTGTCATAATTCTCATCAACTACAGCATCCTGCTCTAGTAAAAATTTAGTGACTTTATTGTTAAAATTAAAAGTTACTAAATTTTTACTAGAGCAGGGTGCGGTAGTTGACGAGAATTATGACAAATGGCGAGTGGGCACAATGAAAACCAATCTAACAAATCAACAAAGTTGGGTCGCTACATATCGAAAATTCGAATTAAAAATACGAACATATCTCAAAGCGATTTTAAACCATATAATATTATTGAAATTATTATCGATTTGTATAGTATAAGAAAGTATAAGAAAAGTTAAAAAAAAAATTAAAAAAAAGTTAGGATATCTATATATATACAATATATATTACGTATGTTATGCCTTGAAGTATCTGTTAAATTCCAAGTTAATAGCAGCAAAAAATTGTATTCCAGGGATTCGTGTCGTAGAAACGAAAGAAGAGGTGCAATTAGACGTTCTTGTGGAACGTTACACGGTGGCAGGATGATTCTTAATTACGGTAACTAGCACTACTCACTTTTGCTCTTTTTTTTCTCCCTTTCTATTATATCCTCTACGCTTATTTCTCCTCACCTTTTCCGCACATCTTCTTCCTCATTTCGCATTGCGATGCGTAGATGACACCGTCGTTTCCACATACCGGTTCACCACCAGGCGGACAAATCCGAGGACACGCGCCAGCTACGTACTCTGTAACAGAAATTATTTTTTTTTTGTTATTATTTATATATATATATATAAAAGTAAATAGAAATATATTTCAAAAATAAATTTAATAGATGTGACGCGCTTTGAAGAAAGGGTCTTAAAAAGCAGGAAATTATAGGTTATGTTTGGTTGCTGTGATTAAACTTTATAAACCTAACCTATAATTTTTTTGCTTCTTAAGTTCCTTTCTTCAGAGCGCGTCACAGTTATTTAAATTTTTCACTAAAATTATTAAGCATAAAAAAAATTATTCCTAACCCAAGGGAAGTTTTTTCATTTTTTTGTATTGTAATAGGTGATTTTTTTTCTTAATGTCAGAATTTGTTTTTGACAATAAAAAAAAAAAAAAAAAAAAAAAGGATTAAAGTGAAGCTCTAGTGAAAATTTAGTAACTTTATAAAACTTTTAATTTTAACAATGAAGTCACTAACTTTTTACTAAAGCAGGGTGCGGTAGTTGACGAGAATTATAACAAATGGCGAGTGGAGACAATGGAAACTACTGTAACTCTCTGATTGGTAGAAAAAGGCGCTCTTATTTAAATTGATTTAATATAATAAATTGTTTATAAAAACAAATTTTTCAATGTTTTTTTTTGTTTTTATGTTTAGTTATAATGTTTCTTAATCAAAATTAATTTTTACCTAAAATTTATTATTATCCTTTTATCTGACGATGGTAAAGATTTTTGATGTCAAATCTTTGCCATGGTATTTAAGGGGTTAAGTGCGAATAATCTTAGCACTGTCACTAAACATGACTTAAAATTTTTGCAGCTAAGGTCCTTTTTACCGTAAAACGTCAAAAATATTTATCAATGTTTTATTAAAGTTAAAATATTAATTTTTAAAATTGTGCGTGCGAAAAAAAAGAAATAATTATTATTATTGTCTCTCACGATCAGACGTAGACTTTTATATTGAACTTGAGACATTTTTTGACTCATATATAAATATATATATATATATATATATATATATATAACATCTTTTGTGTTCATCTAATATCTGTAGAGATCGTCGTATACATATATAAATGTAGTAAATTTATCGAAGCAGATTTGCAATTCAACCGACGAAATAGAATTCTTGCCCGGATCTCAGATTAATTCTAACTGTACACTCTGATTTTATTATTCATTATTTATTATGCAATCCGGTATTGAACGAGCGTAGTAAATCCAAAGTGCTGTTGACCTGATGATCATTGGACCGAGACCAGCATGCAGACCAAGCGCGGCAGATCAACTCTCCCGGTCAACCGGAAGTAATTATAGTTTCGACAGAATCTTCAAGAGATGTATCGTATACACTACCGACTATCGACAGTGAAGATCATTTTCTTTCCGTTCTTTTTTCTCCCTCCCCCCCTCTCTCTCTCTCTCTCTTCATTCTAAAACCGACAAGTATAAGGCATCTTCAACATCTCCTTGTGGGATATCAATGTTACGAACCCGATTAACAAGACGGCAATCGAGCGAAAAAGGAACTTCTTCTTCATCATCATCTTCGTGTGAGGAGAAGAAGATGAAGAAGAAGTAGAGAAGAAGAACAAGAACAAGTTAGATGAATTTCTTCATGGCTGAACATTTAACTTGCGCTGCAAACAATATATATGGAATATCGTTCATTTACGCCCTGATATTTAGAAAGAAGAACGATTCGTCTCAATATATTCTTATGCATTCATTATCTTACGGACTGAGTTAAAATAATATCTATAAATAAATAATGCAACCAATCTTTTATGAATTAACATATACAATCACTTATTATACATCTCGTGAAGAAATGAATTCCAATTTTTAAAACAAAAAAAAAATTCTTTTTTGTAAAATATTTATATTTGAATATTGAAATTGGTATCTAAAATTAATTTTTGAAAAAGAGAACAAATTTTGTGATTGATGATGATAATTTGTTGCAGAGTGTCTTATCGATGAATATTGTGGTTGTGTATTAAGATTTATTTCTTTTTTAAAATCATACATTTTTTTGATTGTAAAATAATTTAAATTATTTTGTTTCAGTATTTCAGTTTTGTTTTATTATAAATGGAAAGATTTGTTTTTTGATTAACAATAAATATTTTTAAAAATTGGAAAGAAAAGTAAATTTTTTCTCCGTTATGCAAAATCTTTTTAATTTTGTTTAAGTAGTTTAATAAAACTAATATTGGAAAAAATATCACCAAAATAATAAGAAAACAGGGTTGAGCAGCTGATTATCATAAAAAAATGTAATTCATTTCTCATTGGTTAGTAATGTTTCAGGAAATTTTACCATTCAATAAAAATAGGACAATTTTCATAACATCCTGCTTCCCAACCGTGGTCATTACTTGTTAGTCTATTTGAGCAGGGTAATTAACAACATTTCAAAGACGCCATTTAGCTAAAATTTGTAAAGACTATTCTACAATACTTTCTTTTCATTCCTAGAAAATAAAATTACGTAAGTTAGGAAACGGCGATAAATGAAAATTTGTTTAATTTTTCCAGTGGCTTATTTAGGCTATGTAAGCCACTGGACAAATTAACCAAATTTCCATTTATCGTCGTTTCGTAACTTACGTAATTTTATTTTCTAGGGAGTTTCTAAATATTACCGATGAAATGAAAGTATTGTAGAATAGCCTTAACAAATTTTAGCTAAATGACCAGGGTTGAGAAGCAGGATGTTATGAAAATTGTCCTTTTTTTATTGGATTGTAAAATTTCCAAAAATATTACAAACCAATGAGAAATGAATTACTGTTTTTCATAATAATCAGCTATCCAACCCTGTTTTTTGTTATTCTAGTGACATTTTTACCAACATTAGTTTTAGTTTTATTAAACTACTTAGTTAAAATTTGAAATTTTTACATAACGGATAAGGGACAAAAATTTTCAATAAAAAAAAGCTTTTAAATACTAACAAAAACTACCTAGGCAATATACTAAATTATTTAATATTACTCTATTTACAAGCATCCAGGGTTGAGTCGAACTTTGTTCCTTGTTTCTAAATGTATGGAAGGTTGCTTTCCATTGTCCTCATTCGCCATTTTTCATAATTGTCGTCAATTACCGCCCCCTACTCTAGTAAAAAATTTAGTGACTTTATTGTTAAAATAAAAAGTTACTAAATTTTCACTAGAACAGGGTGCGGTAGTTAACAAGAATTATGACAAATGGCAAATGAGTATTTTTGCGAGTGGGGACAATGGAAACCAACCGGTATATTTCCAAAATTGTTAACAGCCGATTAGAAATAGTTATCCGACCTAATAATTTTTTTGGTACGTTTGTTACGGGGCATTTACGGGGCTCCTGGCAGGAGGAGGAGGGGGAGGAAAGGAGCCCCTTAACTGCATAATTACCCATTTTTTTAATGTACATTGATAAATAATTGTAATAAATAAGTAAACATATACTTGCTTTGTTAAGCCTTTTAAAATTTTTCCCACTCAACATTTCGAAATTGAATATTTTACAAATTAAAAACTAGCGTGTACCATAATAGCACTTAGTATATCAGAATAACCCCCAGCGGTATGAGAGAAACAATAAACATACTATATACATTCTTTTAATTAAATCATTTATTACAGTTATTTCATTTTTTATTTACAGTTTCCGTACAAATAAGATGGCTGAATTTTTTTTTTGCAAATTCTCATCCTTCACTTATATTATTTGCAACATGCAAGGAAAAATTGCGCAATTATGTTAATAGGCTGTTTGCAATTCTAGAAAATTTTATTTTAAAAATAATCCTAAGAGCATATTTATGTAGTTAATTTTACATATTACTTAAGGGGTTCACAAAATGAAAGTTAGGAAATAAAAATTAATTTTATCATCATAATCTCTTCATTATTTACATAAAAAAATAGCAAACTGTTAAGAATCCTTTACAATGATTTGAAACAAATTAAATCAATTTTCTTTTTTTTTCTTTTTTTTCATGTATGTGCAAAAAAAGACAAGCATAATTAGTCAATTTTTATAATTAATAATTGAGGGAAATAAGTTTTCGTAAATTTACGATTATTATTTTATCACGTGAAAAAAAACTAGAGTAGGTTAGTTATCACATTATTATTGGACCTTGGAAGCTATACGCTCGACCACGTAAAATAATTGAAGAATTGCATGCAGACAGCGTATATATAAGAATTACGGCAGCTCAACGCCCTTTATATACACCAATCCTTTTAAACTATTTCAACCGCGTCCCGGAAGTTTCGAGAAATTCTTTTTGGCCTTTCAAATATATATAAATTACATGAAAAAAATTATAAAATGAAGAGATTACTTTTTCTGTTAGATATATTTAAAAAAAAAAATTAAAAATTTTAATTATTAAATATCACTGGTAATAATAATAATAATTGACTTGCGCTTATTTTAATTGTAAATTTATTTATAATTAAATAGAAGGCCTAAATCATTAAAAACCGCAAAAATTATTAAATAAATAAAAAAATATTTGACGCGCTCTGAAGGAGTCAAAGAAGCAAAAAAAAAAAAAATTATAGGTTATAGATTGGAGTGAAAAAAAAATTACAACTATCAATACAAATTACTGATGATTCATTGCATCAAAAATATTCAATTAAAAACTAATTTTGATTTTACAAAAGAAAAGGAACTTTTAATAAAGGTGAAACAATCATAAACATAACCTATAAATTTTCGTTTCTTGGACCAAACATGCCAACGACCGTCATCAAACGCAACTGCGCTTGCGCTACTACAATTCTCGCATTGGTAGAAAAAGGCGCTCTTATTTAAAATGCTTCAATATAAAGAAATATTTAGAAAACAATAAAAAAAAAACCGGTAAGTGTTTATTTTATTGTTTTCAAACCACGTAATATTTATTTATAACAAAATAAAATTTATTTAAACCAAATAAATATTTATTTGGCTCTAAGACAAATATATCTTTTCTCTTGACGTGTTAAGAAATTAATAATTAATTTAATAAAAATAT